AAAGAAATAGATAATTTCGTCAACGATAAATAGGTAACAATATAACTTACACGTAAGCATAAAACGCATTTTATACACTCCAGTGTCATTTTGTACATGAATATATTTGGTTTTCAAAGAAATGAGAGTAGACATAAAGTTAAAGTTGAAAGTCAAGAGTAGCTACGAACTATAAAAAATGACGGAACACAGAAACGAAACATGTTTTGATTGTTAATCATAAAAGAATCATTTTATGAAAGCTCCCAATTGAAGATGCTCATCATATTCTATTGGTATTCTTGAGTGACATAACTGTCAGACATAAAATATAGTTAACATATATCATGTGAAACAGACTAACTTGTACAATGTTTATGTTGGAAAGAGAGTCATAGTGGTAGAAAGTATAAATTTCGTTCTTTGAAAATGACATATAAACAAATTTAAAAATTCTAATATATTTATAATAACAAAGAATCACTGAAAAAGATTATTTGAATCTTGGCGAATTAAATCGAAAATAACTCATTTGATCGTCATAGCAGATAGTTCAAGAATTTTTCAAATGTATCATAGAGTATAGTGATCGAATGAATTTTATCCATTAGAATGTTTCTCTTTCTAGAAGAATGTCTTGAAAATCAGCTTGTGGCAAAAAAAGTCATGTTGGTAGATAAAATTGAGCCGAATCAATCTTGTATACGAACCACCGTCATTCTGTTAATCAAGTGATACAGCGAGATGAGCATCGTCAAATGAAGTAATTCTCTTTCTAGAAGAATCATTTCGAAATTATCTGATCTTCTGATATATCTATGTGTATGATATCTCAGGAGAGGGAACCTTGATTTCTCATTATTGCATGTGAGTCACATGTTATTTGCTGACCAATCTACGCAATGTGATGATCTTCAACGATTGTCACCTAGCTCGTCTTGAAAAAAGCATTTAAATAAGCCATCACGAGTGTTTTCAATCATTTTGTGTATGATATTTGAAACGATTACGCTAAGATCTCTCTCAGCGCAGTGTTTCATTTTCACAGGTACGAGCACTACTGACGGAATCTTCATGAACAAAAATCGACACATTTTATCCAGAGCTAACTTAATCTCGGTCGTAGGTAACTTTATAAACTATCAATTGGAAAAAATACCTTTTATAGATCTTTTCAAACTCGAGATATTTAAAGCGTAAGATTGAATAGCCTATGATTGCTCAACATATTTCAAGGTACTCCGCAATCTAAGACTTTAAATTTGTTTTCTAGTTTTAGAACTGATATTTATTTGATGAGGAGTTCACCAATTGTACAGAATACTTTATGAAGTTATGCATCAGTTATTAGCGAAGTCATATTCATAGCACTGTAATAATCAGATGTGCTGACATGAGAATGACTCTTTTTCTATAAGCACTATTTATCGACATGTAGCGATACAAAAGATGGTTTTTGAACGTTTAATAATGTTTTTGACAATGAGAACTACAATATGCTTCATTCCTTTTTTGGAACTCACGTATGTTTTTGAAGAAAATAGTGAGTGTAAGTTTTCAGTTCGAGGTTGGCGGTGGCAGATACCCCGGCCCCCCCCACATGAACCAACCATTCCGCAANCATGCAGTACAATCAAGCATAAGGAGGAAGAAAAAAAACCGAAAATACGATGTAGTCTTATAATTACTTATGAATCACCTGTCAGAATTCGTCAAAATGTCAAATCTTTGTTCTTTCATTCAAAGTTACAGGATGTTTGCTAGAAAAAGATTTTCATTGTGACCTGTACGTATTAGATATGTGAATCGTAATGAGCTTACTGTACTTCTATATGACAGTTCTCTATATCAGTTATGATTTATGACCGAGTCGAAAGAACGTGCAACAGCTATGGAGGAGTAGTTTTTTTTAGTCAAAAAACATCTTTTATATTGAAAGCACTAGAGTTTATCTGGAATTCGATATTTCGTGGCTCAAAAATTTAAAATACGGTGTCGGCAGGCTATGCATGATATTCTAGAATGGGAAAGGAACTTCGCTTTTCTTATCAAAGTGCACTTTTTGCTAGTTCGGAAATAGAGTTTGATTAAGAATGGGATTTATTGATTCGAACTGACTGATTTGTTGATTAGTACATTCCAATTTATACAGTCCATTGTAATACTATCATATAGAAAGCAACATTTTCAATATTTTATTCCAAAGATATGAATGATACGTGTCAACACAGGTTTTTGATCGATCAGGACTTACTTTCAGCTACAATTCATAGTTTTATGCCTATGAAGTTTCATCGCGCAGTAAATATTGCAACAGTTGCATTTCACCAACGATGGAGTGTCTTCAGCTAGTCTATTAATTTGAGAAGTAGAGAATCTACCCAAATAGCTAGTTCACTCAAATAATCATATTGAACATTGACAAAGAAATGTGGATACTCAAGTATTGGCACAAGACTGACGATTATAGGTGGGATAAAAGCAACTATATAAAGACTGGGAACAACAATTGCGTTGCCATGCACCATTGTCGCTCCCAATTTACTACGTGTCACATGCAACGTTTCTGAATAATGACTCACATGAAAAGTACATATTAGCAAGCACATTTAAGAGAATAGGTACAGCTTCGTTGACTACCAAGCCGAATGTTGTAAACATCGGATCGAAAATTAAAAAAACTAATGGCATTACAACATTCAATTTCTGTATAATTCCATAAAGTACCATTACATGGATACACAATACTGGAAAAAAAAATAGTATATTAGTGCTTAGATCAAGCACATCAGTAATGGCAGATGATGAAATAGTATGCATATTGGACATCTTTGCAAAAGTTGTGAATTGAAGATGAACATATGGAGTTGAACAAAAATCATAGCTATCAGAAGAACATTCACTACAGTCAGTCTATGATCGATAGAAGTTTACATAATACAAAAGATCGGTTCAGCTAGATTGCATTGACCAAGATGATAAAAATTAAATGAAAGCTAAACAGTCAACATCAATTGAAAAGCGTTGACTATGAGTTAAATGAATAGAGTCTGATTTTGAAGTTTCTGAAAGATAACACGATAAGTAAAGAAAAAGGTTAATATAAATAGAGAGATTACGATGGATGGAATCAGTAAGGCAAGATATAATGAAAATTCGATACTATAAAGGAGAAAATTGTCATCCACACTTGATTTTGTATCTACCGCGTTCATTGCTGTGGACGTCTTCGTGAGACAGTTTGAATGTAATAATGAGCTACGTTAGACATACTGTTGTTGCCTTTTCGTAATCATAGTTGAGCTGCTACTGTCAAAACTCATTTTTATCATAATCATATCAAGTCAAGCACACTTGCTATATGAATTTTTGCTGTCAACTAAATCATCAAGAATCAAATGTAAGTGCTCAGCGGAGCATTGAAACCTCTGATCGACACGTTCAGAGATTATTTGCCGAACAACTCTTCTATCACATAGATATGTAAATTGCATTCATCAGTAAGCCTATGTAATTTATGCGTAGTTGCAGTTGAACATGCACTGATCTAAGGAGTCGAAAATATTTCAAAACAAAACCTGTAAAGGATTAAAAGCGTAAATCACGATAGAGCGATTGTAATCACCACAGAGAAAACTTATTATGCGTATCAGAATCAAATATTCAAACAGAAAAACTAGAGTTTCCAAAAACACAATAGTAACCCAGACCATGACGGACACGCCGAGAATCCATCACAGACAGTGACATATATGCTGACATGTCTTTCATTGTAAATTATGTTGCAGAATTTTTTTTCTGTTTGTCTATTTCACTCTATGATCATTGAGAATTTTTTTGCCAAGAATCTTGCAGCTTTTGGCAAATGGGAATCGATTGCATTCAGTTTTCTTGCGACAAAGTTGAACACTCTTTTTCAATTGTATTTCACAGAATGATGACTTTAGAGTGTCTAAATCATCACGTGATCTGATGAAAAAAATGAGAAGTGATCCTCTTTCGATAATAATAAGAAGGAGGTTAATTAAAGTCTTCGTGATATAACATATATCGAATGATATTTTCATCGTTGTTATGACACTGCAGTGGACAATTATTTCGTGCCCTGCCTTTTGTCCTCTAACACTATATTCATCTATAATATATCTTTACATTCCCAGATATGATTATTTGACTTGAACGAGTGAAGAAAAGAAACATCTTTATTGCCTTTTTGTTCAGCACGTATAAATTTTCTCATTCTGCCGGTGCAAAAAATGTTGCAATTGATGCAACTCTATGGCTAATATTAAAATTTTGAAGAGTGGGAAAAACAAATTGATTCTCTATTTGAGGATGTAGGTGTACATGAGAATATTGTCTCCAGCATCCAGCATGAAATGGTTAACATGAATTATAAAGTGTCATGCGACATTATTCTCGTTCATTGCAGGAGAATGTGTTGCGGGTGTGAGTATGGTACCTGTAAATAACCTTGCCTATACTAGTGAGCCCCACACCCACACCCTGCTCAAACAATTCAGTATCTCCAAAAAGAATGAAGGCAGTGGAGTAATTATTAGAAAGCATCTGTATTATATATAGGGTAAAGGTTTCAAGTTTTCAGACTCGAAATGAAGGAGGCCTACTAAAATGTCTGAATTCTCTATCACCTAAATAACTGCGGAGCAATATAAATCAACAACTTGAGAAAATTTGAAACTTTCAGAAATTGAAATAATTTTTGTGATCACAAGATTGCGAAACTTTATAAAACTTGAGAGATATATACCTGAAACTTTTGTGTTGCAGAAATCTGAATGGTGTCAAAATGTTCAGAGAGAACCTTATAGCATCCGCATACGAATTATGACGCAATCATAATTAAAACGTTCGTTATTTGAGAAAGGTGTCATGTGCAAATGCATTCATTTAAGTTTCTATTAGTTTCATCGAATCCTACTTATTAGAAGACGATTAACTTGATCGACACGTTACATATAGATATTGTTTTTTCAACATTGTGCTTATGTTATTGACTTTTAGCCAGTCCATACTCGAATTTTAAAGGCAGCTTTTACATTTCTGGTAATCGAACAAGTGGATGGCAATCGGTTCTTTAACCAACTAAGAAGTTCATCTCTCGCGGACGATGATCCATTCTCATGCCATTTATCATCTCGACATCGAAATATCAACACACGAAGGTTGGACATATGAGTGATCAAAAAGTACGCATTTGTTCGATGTTCAACGCCAACAACAAGAATTTCACATTGACGTCCAAGTGATGAATTAGCCAAGAGTGAACATTGGACATTGTCCAAATACGATCCAGAAATTTCAAAAAGATTCAATCGACGAATTGATTTACTGATATTTTCTAATGCTGATAATCGTGAAAATAACGACGGGTCAATGGTCAATGAATAGATATTAGGTGTTCGATCGAGTAAAGCATTTATTTGAGTTATAGTCCGACTTTGACGTAGTGAAAGATTGAGTGAAGTTAGGTTATGCAACGTGGAAATAACAAACCAGAAATTATCATTAACGGGAAGTCGCAGTCGTAGATGATGAATATTGAGAAAACGAGCAGGAAAGAGAGTCAGATCTTGAAATAAATCATTTTGATACCAAAAATGCTTGACTCGATTATAAGACCAATATTTGCTATCATTCGGACAAGTCCATTTCGATCGCATAGAATGATGAAAAGAGAGTACATCAAAAGCATAAAGTACAGTATAGAGAGATATATTATCGATGGCTTGGGCATTCCAATCACATCGAACAAACCAGCCATGTTCATTGAGCCAAAAGGGAGTTCGAAATGTATCAAGTAGTAGATCGATTTGTTCTTCTATATTGTTGTTGCTATTGTTTTCGAAAAAAGAAAATGTCATTCGAAATCGAAAGATTTTTAACTTGCGAAGTTGTTTGACAATGATCTGTTCCCATTGATGACCATTCAAGTACATGTTGGTTGTATCGATTGTCAAACGAAGTAAATTTGGCATTGTGTGCAGAAGATTCTTCATTTTTTCTATCGAATGATGAAACACGAGCGATAGTGCAGTGATTGATGAATGAATCGCTTGCATTCGTTCATCATCATCATCACCATTAGGCGCAATACTGGCATTGAGTCGTCGAAGATGGGGTGCTTGTTTGAGTAAACGAGCTAATTCATGCAACTGACATGCCGTATTCGTGATTAAGAGATGTTCGATTGATAATGAAGATATTTTTGGTTCGATGAAACGAATGGTAGGCTCACAAATGTTGTCAAAATGACAATGAGTAAGTTTTGTTAGATGCCAAACAGTGTTGTTGAAACAAATAAATTCCTTTTGAACTTCAAAATGACACTGAATCACTTTCAAATGAGTAAGACATGGAAGATTACGACACTCCAATACGAACTTCTGCACCGTGACTGTAGAACGAAGACCATAAAGTGCAAGTGAACGTAAGCTCGTAAACATATTGATCATTGAATTGTAAGAAAGAAAATGGTCAGATAAATTTGGAGTTTCGTCATCATCCGATAGATAAATTGAAGTAACTCGATTGATGCATGATGGAAGCTGTCGTCGACAGAATATGTCGAAGTCGCGTTTGGATACAGATCGAAAATCAAGACTATACTCTCGGAAATGTACATCGAGAAGTGTATCAAAACGAGAGTTGAGACCACGAAATGCACGAAGAAGTTGAATATCATTGAACAACTCGAAGAGTTCAAGGATAAGTTCATTGGCCAATGATTCTAACATCATAATTTCAAGCTTTTTCTTGCAACAGGGGAAACTTGTGTTGCATACAAAACAAAAAACAAAATGAAACATCTTGTAGTCTAGATTGTTGTTTTAGTAATTTCGTAATATCCTTTTGAAATTTATGAAATTCTTGTTATTTTATCGTCATGATAGATGGCAAATAGACAAGAAAAACGAGAACGTTTTTTCTTTCTATTTCGACCACTTTTGTTTTACCTCTTAGTCAACTAAAAATTTTTCATCAAATAAATTCTCCTGTGATGACACACAAATAGTTATGAGTATAGCACAAACGAAATGTCAAGATAATTCTTTTTTTTTTCATCAATGCAGCCTTCTCAATCGACTTTTCATGTAACAAGAATGTCAATAGGTTCATGAATGACGCATGTATCCGAATTCAACATAGGTTATATAATTGATGATTTAGTTTAACTGCAGTAAATCAAATTCTATTATTTCGAATTCATTCCGATATCGAAGCCGGTAGAATCTTTAAAATTGTTTCTCTATGTTTTTGTAATAAAAGATTCGATAACATCGTTCAACGCAAAAGATGTTGTCGAAATATTCTTTAGAACAGCACTCGAGTATATTCTTCCTCTTCCGAGGAACTTCAAATTTATAAGACGAATACATTTGAAAAGACTTCTGAGTTTGAAAAAGTTCACATTCGATACAACAAAAAAATAGGCCGATACTTCAAACTCCACTTCTCGCTTATGATACTAGAAGAGAATGATGAGCACCACAAAGGAAGAACAAAACCAAAACTATGAAAGACAAAATAAGCAGTGTAATTATTGCAAAAAAAAGCATTCTCTGATCGAATTGTTTTTATGATTACGTTAAGCAAGCATATATTTGAAAATGTTTCTATTAAGATTACAACGAACATTCTCTGTATCAGAATGTTTTAATACATTGAGATACACGCAAATATTGATAGGTGAAGAAAAGCAAGACGTATTTCAGACGCTATTATCACGAGCGATCAGTGTGAATGTGTGCGTGAATGAAAAGAACAATCTTACCCAATCTATACCACCAGCCTCGTCGTATTTTTGGCGATGAGAATAGTGCAAACAAACGAATCTGGTGTATTATCTGCTATCTGCCTAGTTTTCCACACTTTCATTCGCATACTCATCTCTTTCACTATTTTACCCAATTTTTTATCAATTTAATCTCGACTCTGATCATCTTCAGAGCCAATGCTTGACAAGGACGTATCTTTGAATCTTGTTAAACTCATGAATAATTGTTATGTGAACAAATTCAGAAACAGACTCATCTTATTATAGATCTATATGGCTCGTTCATTCTTGCTTTTCCACGTATGGTCACTTTTTTGTTTTAGGTTATATGAAATCTGCTCATAGTGCATGATTGTTCCTTGTCGGATATTTTATTTCATTCATTCTATCTATATTCACATACTGCTTATTGATCATGCTTCAAAATATCAACCAGCATGAATCATAAAACCTCGCTTCCTACTTACGAGATATGGCCAAGTGCTTGCCCACAATGGAATGAAGTTGTTATTTGAAGCAATATTTACTACAACCATATGTCCGATTTAATTAATGTAAAATGTCAATCTTCTCCAACCAAGAATGGTCCCTATGCAATAATGAAAAAGCACTCAAAATTCAGAAAATAATTGTTCAGCAATAGTAGACGCCAGAACTACTTTTAAAATACTGATTCTACCGGCATTCATTTCTCTCGATCACTCGATTGATAATTCTATCTGTCACTAAGTTGAAAATTCTCTCGATTTCTCTCTTGATCGCTTTTGAAACAGGTCATAGAGTGACAAATTTTATCGTTCATACCGGAACAATTTGTTCTGTTTGAACAGTGGATATGAACGCTCAGCAAAGCCGTGACAAAATTCGCTACTAGTATATTTAATCTGTTGAGTAAATTACATAGTATTTCAAGCATAATCTTAAACCACTGACAGACTAGTTCATGGAACTCCCGATAGAGTTTTCAACACATTTTTCGAAGTAATAGGCAACTCGTTTTGCACATATTTTCTCGATCGTCAGTTGAAAGAGCTCCATTGATGTCAGAAAATGAGTGTCATGGTAAATATCATCACAGAAACTTCCACTACCGAAATGAGTGCTCCAAAGGAAGCAGAAAGAAAATAGAGAGAAAAAAAGACTACCATATGTTGTAGCAAACCAAGGAGGCAGATAAAATCAAGAAAACTAATGAACTCAGTTCACAAATACTTGATTAAAATAGAGTAAGAAGCAATATAAAACTGAGATTGAATTGCTAAATTGCCCAATAATAGAATATTGGGTAACTGAATTTTTAGTGATTGAGAGTACCGGTGAGGATCTAGGTCTGAATAAAAGCTACTATAAAACTAGTCCGTAATAATAATATAAGTTCGCCTATATACAACCACATAATGTGCTGTTAAATGCTGTATAAAAATGTCAACTTTGAAATTAAGGATGATATCTTACTTCAACGATAATAGCCCATTCCACAATTCGATCTGAATTGTTTATACAAAACTCCTCATGTTTCTCATCGTCTTGTGCATAATGAGTCGTGTCATAGTTCGTATGCCAAGTATCTGTATTACGTGCGAGTACANACCCATCATTTTATCTGATATGCTCATAAAGAGAAACACAGTTAAAACTAAAAAGAAACAAATTTGATTCAAGAGCTTCAGATTTGTATTACGAAGGAAATTTTTCATCTGATTAATCTCTTTTAAATGGGAACTATGTCTATGTAGTATCTTTCAAAAACACTAGAAAAACTAGTTCTTGAATTTCTAGTTGAAACGTTGTATAGAGACAGTCGTTAACGAGAATTGTTTGTTGTGAGAGTTTCAGTTCTTTCGTTATGTCTATTCTAAGACATGACTACAATAAAACTGTCTTTTACATCGCTCAAATACACTGGTATATTGGGTGTTCTTATTTCAGAATAAGAGCAAATTAAAAAATCTAAAACTTTCACAATCACCTATTCTCGTTCAGATATGTCCTTGCATCAAGCTTCAAGTCGAAATTCAAACATCAGCTTTTCTTGTGTTTCCAAAAGATGCACGGCTTTGACTTAAAAATTCCATATTACTGCAACAATAAGTTAAGGCCCTAAACTCTTTTCTAGAAATTTATATCCAATTAACGGCTACATGATGTACATAAAAGAATTTTATAGAAAAGAAATTAAAATCAAATCGGTAAAATAGACACCGTATTATTGTTAATTTAGTTGAATATCTTACTTGCAACAATCCAGCTCGATTAAGTGGCGAATCAAGTAACATTAATAAACATTGATGTGTTATATCAGGTCGTGCATTTGAATTTGGATCTCGTTTATATTTTAAAAGATGATTTTTATGTCGATCACAATTAAGTAATTCATAAACTTTTCCAATTTTAATTGTTTCTAAATTGGCTTGTTCAAGAACAACAATTAGTCGTTTATCTGTTGATTTTACTTTTTTTGCTTTATTTATTAATGATTCATCATTTTGAATAGTTTGGAATTTATCTTGATTATTATTATCATCATCATCTAATTGTTGTTCTTGTTTTGTACGTTTATTAGTTGAAGGCATGTTGATCTGGAAAATGAATGAGATTATTTATTTATTTATTTATTTATTTGTTGTACTCGGCAGAAAAAAATAAAATACATCAGTTCATTAATATTTTCTTTTGTTTTTTTTTAATGAATGCACAGAGAAAAAAAATGAGAACTTGGAAATGTTATTTTTTTTTTATATCGGAATGACTGTTTCAAAGACTTGCACCCATTTTAAATGCAACATTATTATTAATTGATGATGATGTTGTTGCTTGTTGGTTGATTTCATCATTTGAGTTTGTATTTAAATCGTCATTTATATTATTATCTAATGGTTCATTTTCTCCATCAGAACATTGATCTAATTTTTCAAAACCTTTTCGTCTATTCATCCAGTCTCCAAGTACAGAGCCTGTACCAGTACCCGAAACTTTTACATCATTTAAAAATGTATTTAAACGACGGAGTTTACGAAGATTTCTTATTCGAACAAAACATCCAATTGTAACGGCAAGAAGAACTGGAATGGCAAAGAATGTCATAATAATTAACGATACGCGGAAATTTCTATCGTTTAAATAGATTCGTTTACTGAATGTTTGTGTTGGAAGGTCTTAACAAATATAAAAAACGATAAATTTAAAAATACAAGAAGAAAAACTAATTGTACCTTTACGCTTGGCCAATTCAAATTTATGTAGAGAATTCATAGGTAATAAAGCTAATTCACCGACATAAACTTCACGACCATTTGTTGATACAGCAATATCATGTGGGGCAATTAAATGCTTTAAAAATACAAAAACAAAATATGAATTATTTATTTTTAATTAACGAGAACATTTCCAAGTGTCCGATCGGTTTTTGATCAAGACTATATTCAGGTGAGAGCTCATAGTGCATAATGTAAAAGCGTAAGAGAGCTCAGTTGTCAAAAGTCATTATTCTTGATGTATTGAAACTTAATGCAGTGTTTAATAGAAAGCCATGAATCCCCTCAGGTGACCATGAAAACCAAATTTCGAGTTTTGATGTGACGAATTTTTCAAAAATAAAGTTCTCAATGATACTAACTTATAGCGGCAATTTCACTGATTTTTGAAATTCCTACCCTGAGATATGAATACTGAAAACTCTTCTGATAAAAAAGTCAGCCATTTTTATTATAGTGATATCTCAGGATACCGAATACTTTTTGTCAGTGAAACTTTCACAATGAGCTGGTATCATTGAGAAATTCATTTGATCTGAGGCGAACTACAGCTTTCTGTTAAAAAGTATCGTAAAAATTCGATATCTCAAGAAAAAAGGCTCAAACAAGTGAATCTTTCTCGGGTTTTACACTACTCACTATGTTCTCCCATCGAAATATATTTTCGGTCACAAAGCTCGAGAATATTTTCTCGTAATTTTAAAATAAATTTACCGGATTTGAGTCAAATGATGTTAAAATATCTCCTGTTCGGGCTTCGATCATATAAACTTTTTTAGTTGGTATTTCTGAGCCACCTGTAACAGCAAATAAAACGGTTCCTAAATGAAGTAAAACAATTTAAATTAAGTTTTCTATTTTCAATATATTTTCTTTTTCTTTTAACAAACCATTTGTATTTGGTGCAAATTCAATAGCATAAATAGGACCAATATTATCTTTTGTTTCAACACGAATTTGTCGTTGAAATTCACCTGTATTTGAATTAAAACATTGAATACGATAATTTTCTCGATCGGCACCACATAATAATTGAGCATCTTCATTTAATGCAATTGAATGAACGATATTCCATTGATTTGGAGGTGGAAAACCATCTCCTAGAAATATTTTCACGATTCAATCGAAAAAAGTTTTCATTATAGAGGAAGTTCGATATGATCAAAACTTTTATTCATGACGGAAATTTTTACTTCTTTTATACAAAATTGAAACTATAAGTAATGATTTTTAAGATAACATCATTATAGGTTCAATCAAAGAAAATTTGATTCCTAGTTACAATCTTCATCAAAATATTGCTAGCAGGAACTTGAAATAATATGTTAACCAATGTCAAAAAATCCAAGATGCTTGATAGTTCTCTATTTAGTTCCTTCTCTTGTTCTACAGTAGAGTAATGCATGAATAGAACTTTTCTGATTTGTAATATTCATGCTCGTAGTCAACTCATTCCTTCAATACATGATTTAAATGCATTGTTTTCTTTATTTTGATTTAGAAGAAATGAAATAATAATCTTAAAATAATTGTCAAATAGAAGGACAATGAATTAAAAATACATTCGACATGTGCAACAATGACACACATCTTTGACTTCTCCCTATTCTATTTCTAGAGTGCCAGATGGGCAGTAAAGCTTATCAAAAAATAGAATGACCATAGTCGTTTTTCGAATAACGTTCGCTAAAAAGAAGATACAGATCTTTTTTTAGGAGATCCTTGATTAATTAGTCGAAGTCAGTAGTTTCAGAAAAACACTTCTAGTTTTTGAACAACGCTAGTTAGAAACATCGACTATAAATAGATCAAAATTAGTATAATTTTTTCTATTGAATAGTGATGTTCAAATCTGAAATCAAATGAAATTCGCATTCAGAATATTATTGGTCAGAATGTCGATGTAGAACTTTGACAGACTTGTATATTTCGTGATTTTCTCTGTTCAATGACGAAAACTACAGACGACCATTCTACTTTTGGGCACACTTAAGTTTGTGTGTCTCTATCCTACTCATATGTTTCACACCTGTACCTACCTACTTCATATCTATATGGGTATCCGACCTGTGGATTGCGCTATTCTTTCCTACAGGAAGATTAAATGAAGCATGAAGAGAAATAGTCAGTTTTGTTCTTGACCATAACAACAGATACAGAAATGTGTTGTACTCAGCATTTTCTTTAATTGATAGTAAAAGAGAAAGATCTTTGTCGATTAAATTTTCCTAATACTTCAGTTTTAATATGTTGATTTTATTGAATATATCTCAAAAGTTTATTTGGAAAAATATTTTGATATTATGGGATATGAGCTAACAAAAAATGATTAGTCTAATATAATCAATGCAATAACGTATTTATTCAAACAAATCAACAAAATTTCTCAATTGTTATCAGTATTTGAAAGAAACTGAAAAAAAAAAGAATTTAGTCTTTATATAAATTGAAATTTCACTTGCTGTTATTTAAGAATTTTCAATTAAATAAACAAACAAACGGTTTTATTTTGCTTTGAATGAGAGCGCATCTTAGATCGAATACAATGACGAAAAACAAAAGACTTACTATCTTGTATTGCAGTTGTTGGTGAACCCCATTCAGTAATATATTCTCCTTTACGATTAAATCTGATAATACGACTATTACAATATCTAAATTAAAGCAACTAATTTAATGAATTAATTCTCTATTTTAATCGTTAATATTACCCATCAGCTACAAAGAAATCTCCGTTTCTCATCACAGCAATATCTGCTGGTCGACATAGTTGAGTTGGTCCAGAACCTGGTTGAAACATTTCACCAACTGTTAATGCTGGATGTGTTAAATCGCTTGGTTTAAACATAAAAACTTGATGCATAGCTATATCAGTTAACCAAAAATTTCCTGCATGATCAATTGTTAAACCATGTGGCATATAAAACATTTTTGCGCCCCAACGAAATTTTGTTTGTCCTGTACGAGTATCAATATGAAGAACAACATCTTCATCTATAGGACCATAAACGTCTTGATGAAAACGATAATTTACATTAAAATATCTTTATGAAATAAAAACAAATTTAATTAAAAAAAAATAATTAATTAAAAATTTTCATTTTACTTATTTTCCCATTTTCGTGATCCACGATGAAATACAACAAGTTCATCATTAGCTTTATTTAATGCTAATCCACCTATTTCACCAAGTTGACCTGGTAAGGATTTAACATCAGGCCATGAATCCACGCAAGTATATAAATTAGCTAAAGAAAAAACAAGAAAAAAAAAAATATTATAATTCATTCTCAAATCTTTTCTCTTTTTTATACATCATGCGAAAAGCAACAAACACAATAACGATACAACATAAAATCTCACGACTCATTATTTTTGCATTATGTATTTTAACAGTTTGTTCTTTTCCATATGTTAAATGTGTTGGTAATAAATAATCATAATTTTGTGCATCAACATATTCATATTCAGGTAAACCAAGATGAGATAAAACTTTATTGAAATCATATGTATCCGAGTCTTTATTACGATGACGCATATTTTCAACTTCTTCCATATAATCTTCATATGCGGGATCATCCATTGATGATAATGATAATTGTTTTCCAACATCTACTCATCAGACAGTAAACAAGGAAAACAAAATAATAAAATTAATGACAAATTACCTATTGATGGATTCATTGCATGTTCAGCATGGGTATGATGACCATTACTTGTACCACCAATATCCGATGGTTTACGTGGAGGAACTTCACTATCAGGTGGAATAAGGCTAAAAATAAAGAAAAAACATGATTTATTTTGAAAGATGATCATTTAAAAAGTATGCTCTTACAAAAAACAAACCTCTCAAGATGATAAAAAATTTTTGCGATGATAGTTCTGTCATTATGTTAAGTCTACTGAGAATGAGCAAAACTAATTAACATTCGTCTCTTTATTGCTTTCTTCTCGAGTAATGACAATTTTATTGAGTTTGTGACCTAGTAGAACTTAACGGATGATCGAAAACTAATTTGACAAGATGTGCGTTGATTTTTCAGCTTATTTAAAGAGTCTGAAGAAATTTGAAAATATTGCATTAGAATCAGAATTTTGTGTTCTTTTCGAATACGGGTTCAACATTTTTGTAGGAATTTTTATTTAGAACTTATAAGCTGACCTTTCAGAGACCTATAAATTAAGTTTGGATGAACTTCAGTACGCCAAGAATTACCCAAAGGAGAAGAGAACATTATTTCAAATACAGAACATGAAAGAGCAAAAATATCTATATAAAATGATATACCAATGATTACCTTACTTCAAGTCATTCGTCAACAGTAAATATTTTGATAAGGAATACCTTGTCAATTTAGGTAATTTTCTCGAATTCTGTGGAAAACAGACTTGTAAGGTAAGTTTGACCATTCACGACTGATTGTTCTGAAACTCTTCATTCTTATATCACTTTGTAGAGAACAATATTGCCTTTAATTCTATGTAATAAAATTATGATAGAATGTATCCAGCAATGAAAACTATGACAACGAAAAATATCAATGTTCTCCTTCAAAACTTAATTTTTGCTTCTTTCAAAATGCGATTCATAACTCCTAAATCAAAAGACCTAGAGAAATGTTGAACGTATATTCAGAAGCAATACAACATTTTAATTCAAACTGAATATTTTTTCGATTTATTTTTTGATCACTCATTGTACCATCAAAAATTCCAAGTCGATATTTTGATTAGAAATTTCACCCATAACAAGCTGTCTTTTGATATGAATCATAAGACGTCTTTATTGCCAAAATGACGGTACTGAATTTTTGATGATGTACCTTGCGCTAGGTCAGAAACTCAATAAAATTGTTATTACTAGAGAAGAAAGCAATAAGAAGAGAATCATTATGAGTTTTGCTTACTCCTAATGACTGAGCCTACTGATTCCAAAAATTTCGGACACGGACTCTATCGGATCCAAGATCAACCTGACAAGCTCTACCAGTCGACTCAATCTAATAGCAAAAGTCTCCTTTCAAAAGATTTTTTATCACCCGAAGATGTTGTCTCACTAACTTTTTTTTTGTAAGCACAAAAATAGATTTTATATGAAGCAATGTTTTATCTACGTTAGTTACTATCGGAACAAAGTTTCATGATAATTGTGAATTTAGTTGAGTAGAAAAAGAAAGTCAAATGTTAATTTTACACAAGATCTATTTCAATACATTTATAGAATTGGTAATTGAATGAAAATGATAATTAAGACTATTTAAATCTAAGGAATGCCGGAAACTTTTCACTCGCTCTTCCATAATTAAGAGATTTGTTTTGTGTTCTGTTAATCAGAAAACATTTTATTTCTCATCCTTTATGGCAGTCTGCATCCCGTCAGTCCCATTTTGATAGAAATTTACAAACGTATTATTTTTCGTTAAATGGTTACTTTTTATATATTTCCTTCTACAATTAGTAAATCATATTACTATCTTCATTGTATTGTTGAACCATACAAACAAATTGTTTGGAGTGTACGAAATTTACTTTAACGAAAATAAAGATTCACTCATAGAATATTCTCATTTTATTGTTTAGAAACTTCGATATGATGAAAAGCTTATCTAAGTATATTCAATAATAATTCTCAATGGAATATTTATATTCGAATCCTTTTTATTGTACCTATCAGCATGAGAGATCTACCAAGTAATTATGAGCTGTGATCACATGTGATCGTGACCATAATCAAAAACACATGATCATGCAGTTCTCTAATAAACATGCGCAGAAAATTGATTGATTTCATCATTACGATACACATCAGGCTAAGAAACTATAACATTTATTATTTTTACTAGAACAACATGAGAAAAAAAAAAGATTGTGATGAATTATGTTGATCAGTTTTCTTTCTGTTTAATCAAAAAGAGAATGTATTAAATATTTTCTCATTTGTTTATTATTGTATGAACTTATTAACCCGAACCTAGTAAATGAAGTGAACCTTTTTCCTAAAACATAATGAGACACATTAGATTATTTCTCTCTATGAGCTTGAAATATAATCAACACCAATGAGAAAAAAAATTTCTCAGCTTCATAGGAAGGAAATCGAACCAAGGACATTCATTGTTCGTAGACTAAAATAACTGAACTTCTTTTCAATCAATAACCAATCATCTCTAGGGAATCGATCTATTGTATATATTTCAGTCCTTAAAATTTCTAAAAAAAGAAAAGTATAAAATATATACTTAGTCAATGAACTAAATTCATTATCCCAACATGAACGTATTGGAGCTGCACCAGTTTTTTGTTTTCCACTTGCTGTTTTTGTTGGTTCAAATGAATACATGGCATATATATTACACATTTCATCTTTATGTGTAGGTCTAAAATATTTCAATTGACGACTTTTTTTTTTTTAAATCAAAGAAAATAATAATAATTTACCCGACTCGAACAATATGATCATCATCATTATCATAAACACATTGTCCAACAAGATAATCATCATTTTGAATTTCAATTGGTGATGGAAGTGGATAAAATGATTGTGGCCATTGTGGATCACCTTTAACTATTTGTGTAATTACTCCATCACGTACGCGATATAATGAATTAACTCGTGCTAAAGTAATAAAACAAATCAATTAAATTAAACCCTATCAAACAAACAAAAATGAAAATATTAACCCCATTGATGTGCATGAACACGAGCAGCAAAGATAGAAATTGATGGTCCATTATAACGACATGAAAATGGTGTTCGAACAGCTAAAATAAATTCTATTATAATTTATATAATCTATTGTTTCTTATTTACAATGTGCTTTTGGTTTTAAATAGATCTGACTTGTACCAGCTAACATAACACCTGCTTGATATTTTCGTCTATAATAAAATAAATATATAATTTAATGTAACTAGAAGACAAAAGAAAAACGGAAATATATCAATTAACATACGGTTTTCGACTTATAATTAATTGATTTCCTGACTTATCATTGACAATATTTGATATATAATGCATATTGACAACAATATATTTGTATGGCGTATTACGACCAACCGGAAATCCAACATCTAAATGTCTTTTTTTTCTAAAGAAAATATCTCAGTTAATACAAAATAAACAAACCATCAGGTAATGTCATCGATGGTGCATTACGAGCCCATCCATGAATAATCAATTGTTCATTACCATTACATGCTTGACCCGAAGTCCTATATATATATATATAAATAAGTATCGGTGATAAATAGAAAGATAAAAAAAAAAAAAACAAACCAAATTTGTTTTTTAGAACCTGGATTAGCACAAGCAAATGTTAGCATATGATGAGCGGCATTCATATTAATCAAAGGTGAATATCCAACTATATTATATATAATGAAATTAGTTTGCAATTTATTTGAACTTACCGATAGCTAATTCTTCATCGGGTAATTCGTATTGAAGAAAAGTATATTGATCTTCCTAAGAAAAAAAATCTTTTTATAAAAAGAAACACGAATGTTTTGATTTTTTCTTATTGAACCTGCGTTGTATTGAAATTTGGCATTGTTATGTTTATAGTGAAAAGATCATCTTTATTTCTAACACTTGCCGTATAACCAGAATCGAGAATAGTAAGAAGTCCAAGAACGAAATTAAGGACGGTTGTTATTCCAAAACAATATTTATCCATATTTTTGTATATACAATTACACAATCTTGATCTTAGTCTGGAGAATAAAATTAAACGAACCGAGCACAATGAAAAAGGAAAATAGGAATGTTACATCTAAAATAGAAATTAAAATACGATTATATACTACACAAGTCAAATAAAAGACAATTAATTGATATGCATAAATAACTATGATATTAATATTATTTATCTTCATCATTAAGTGGACAAACAAAACTAGCAAAAAGCAAACTATGCACAAAATCATTTTTACGTTTTTGTTGTTGTGCAACAGTATTATTTTGTTGAGTTAACGAGGAAGAAGAAGTTTCATCACATAATCTTCGTAATAATGATGGATCAGGTTCAACTGCAGGGGGTTTTGTCACTGATGATGGTTGTTGTTGTTGTTCGGGTGTTGATTGTTGTTGTGCAACAATTTGTGCCCATGTTTGATGAGAACTGTTTGTTGATGAAGATGAATCAATAAAAAGAGCGGATGCAAAGAGTGAATCGAAAAAGTCATTTTCAATTGATGGTAAACTATTCGATGTTGATGATGATGATGTTGCTTGCTGTGAATGATGAGATTGTTGTTGATGATGAGAACGTCCAACTGTACGAAGACGTTCACGTTCATATTGTTGTCGTGTTAATGTTTGAAGATTAATTGTATTTGATGATGAACTATTATTATTATTTGCTGCTGCTAATCTTCTTACAGTAGATAATTGTGTTAATAAATCAGCAATTGGATCACTTCCACCATTAACTGATGAAGTATCAACAACAAAATGTTGACTTACAGTTCCTCCACCTCTTCCTAATGCACCTCGTCGACCAGGTGTTCGTAATGGTCCTCGTCTAAAACCAGCTCGTGTACTAGTACTACTAGTAAAATCTGATTCTCTATTTGATGATGATTGTCTTGAATATGGATTTGTTCCAATACCAGGTGTTGATGGTGTTTGAACTTGTTGATGCTGATGATCATTAGCAATATGTGCTAGAAGATCAGCTGTAACTAAATTTGGTTCACCATTAATCATAGCTGCACAAATAGGACAAATAACTTCATTTGATTGTTGTTCATCAGCATGTTTTAATTGAAGATGATGAAAAAGATCAAAATTTTGTGATGATTCATTTATAAAAGGTAATGAAAAACCCATTTCACCACAAAATGGACAAGTAAATGATTGAGCTTGATCAGATATATATCGTTCACCATGATAATAAAAATCAAAATCTTGACGTGTTAATATACCTATAGATTAATAACGGAAAATAAAAAAAAAACAAAAACATAATTTTCATACAAAATATAAAGAAAAAAAAAAGTATGCTTTACATTGCATTGGATGTTCATTCGTATGATGACTTGATGCTTCACCTTGTTCGTAACATGTTGAACAAAGATCATAATCATAACAAATTAAACATTTGTAACGTTTCGAACGAAAATTACTTTTACCACAAGCATCACAACTTACACCTTCATGAGCTGACATACTCAAATATAAATAGAATTCTTAAAAAATTTGTAAAAAATCTGACACAATAGCCATAATTGTTGGATTATGTCAACCAATCACAAGAGACCTCTATCAAGATGTGAATTTATGAATATTCCTTTTATAGTATAATTCTTTTGACAAAGCAATAGATTAGAAATTTTATATTTTTGTAAATTATTTCAATGATTTATGATGTAAAAAAACTTCTATTAATTTTGTTGCCTTAGTCTGTTACTCGGCAATGAAAAGAGAAAAAAAAACATAATTGGTCGAACCATTTTTCTTCTTTTCTTCATTTTATTCTGCTACTAAATTAAAGGAAACAGATTTCCGCGAGACTGTACCACGCAACGCACATCCTGTTCTCCATTTGCTCTATGAGCACATTTCACAAACAATAATTCATTGTCACAATGTTCTTCAAAGATATTTCCAAGTATGTGTTGACCTAGCACGTGCATCTTGCAGATTCGTTCAATGTTCGACAAGGATGTGTTAAAGCACGGCAATACTCCACAGAAATCTGAAAGATAGATTTTATCATAGTTAAACGTTAAGGAGCTATACACTTGATTATGCATCATAGCATTTTTTTTAAATTAGAAAATCTTACAACAATAAATAAAATTTAAAAGTATAAGCCTATTTACGATTTTAGATACGCTTTTCATCTTGTCGTGAAATAAATCGAGTGGATTCATACGTAAGAACACACCAGTAGAAAAAGATATGGAAGTTTTTCTTTCGAATATCTATATTAAAAAATAATAAAATATCTTCCGAAAAGAGAATTGATATCTAGGATGATTCTTAAATAATGATAAAATAAAAAATTAGAATATCTCCAATTTGGTTCAATCAAACGAACTGATTTCTAGAAACTTATTGAAAGTTTTCTTTTTGTGGAACTCACATGTATTTTCGAAAAAAAAAATTGTGAATATAAAATTTAATCGAGATTTTTATGGCTTCTTCCTTAGCAATCAAAGACGGCAGGTACCAGACTCGTGTTTTGCGTATTTATTTTGCAATGAAAAAGGGCGCTAAACGGCATTCACATTTGTGAATATTCTAAATAGTGCAGTTTCTTTTTATTTTCGCACAGATAAACAATTATATGATAGATATCAAGGATGAGAGATAATGTTGTCTTGATTGACCATAGTTTGTCATATGATCAACATAAAATGTTTGAATTGATGAAGTTATAACTTTGGAAATAATCAATATCAATAGTTTTGAGTTTATCAACTATACAATAACGTCTTGAAATCTACTGTGGATTTCATGAATGTGTACGAAAGACATTTGTCAGTTTGATCAATGGTTAGAATAATATTCATGTTAAATTAAGGAAAATAGAATACAAACAGGAAAACTGACGAGTGAACAGCAATAAGGCAAATAAAAACTAGAGCAATAGTAAAAAAAATCCCGTTTGAAAAGCAGAAATAAATAAAAGACACATTGTTTCGTTTCTCTGACAATCAATTATTCTTGGCAAACAACTATAGACTGTTAGAGATTTTTTATTTTCACATATTTTGTATTTGTATATATAATGAAATTCAAGAATATATGTGTATTCCATATTTTAGTTTCAAAGAGACTGCGCTGACAAACGTTTTTAGTCGAATAACATAAATAGATATTCTTTTGAGGAATCATTATTAGGTACACTAAAGAAATCAACAAAGAAAATTATATGTGGTACTATCTATCTAGACATAATTATACGTTTTCATCCAAGACAATTATCATAAGAGACAATCAAAACACATTTTATTAATATGGTATCTCATTGATACACATGGAGCGAAGTTTGACAATGACGTAGTTAGTTTAAACGTTTGAGTTTGTTTCAAAAATAATTCAAACCTATAATTGAATCCTTCAATTGCCAAGTCAATAGTTTTCTTGTAAAATGAATGTTCGATTCTTAAAAATTTCGTTTTTTGTAGCTGTTGATTTTTAAACTAGCCTAGTTCAAAAAGTTTGCTTCACATGGATCAATGTCATCTCGCACTAATAAAATGTATTTTTATTTGCTCTTGTTATTGTTTTAGGCGAAAAAGGCAATTATGTATAAGTCGTTGCACATACAGTTTTCTTCCTTGATTTCTTAAGTAAAGTTAATAATGATACTTCAAAGAAGTATTTGTGTTATCCGTACAAAACGAAACTTTGCAATAGATCTACATAATCAAAAAATTAAAAGAACAGCGTGTTCGATTGAGTCCAGCTGGACATATTTCAAGTTTTCATCGCATAATTATCTATAGTCTATCTATTCTATGCATTAGACATCACTAGATGGAAACATGCCTATGCTAACAAAAAAATCAATTAAGATCATATTGAGCCTACTGATAATAAGCCGAAATTGAGATTACTACTCACTGGTAAACATTTTTGTATTTAAGAAGTATTAGAATTCTAATGAAGTTTTATGATGCTTATTGAAGCGAATAGTTTATAATTATCATGCAACAGACTTCTATAGTGTTTTAATTCAAAATCTATCAGAAACTTTTTAAACACATTACATATTCTGCTACATGCGATGTCTTCAACAATAAAACCAATACACATAGTACGAATAGGATTTCGATACAAACTCTGTTAGAGTACATTGCTAACTTCTAAGCCAATTGAATTGTTTTTTTTTTGTTAGAAAGAGCAATATGTGAACTACAAACTGTTTATGGCAATGATTTTTCCTGAACAAATTTGTAAAGCATTGAAAATTAAAAAAACCAAATACTTCTACACAAGTTATTGGGATTTCATCATCCAGCATCATGATTTTTCGAATTCTATGAACATTTTCTTTGTTATCATAAGAGAATGGAATAAACACATTTAACGACAATTTCTGTTATATAGAGTTTTCTTTCCAATGGTATATAGGAACTTTTATTTATTCTTAATTTTTATACAAAAATATTTGTTTTCTTTTTGACAGAGATTGATTAATTTGCTGTTGCTTCTTACTTGACCGTTTTTTAATAGTTAGATATACTTTTTGAATTACTCGTTTTTTCTGGTAATTTTCTCTAACGTGACATATTATGAACAAATAACGCAAAAGAAATTGAGTTCGTGCGTAGTTTCTAGAGATAGTGACTGATGTCTTTGAAATCGACTCTATTTTGTTTAACGTTGTTTTACACGTTTTTTTTCATCAAAGAAACGAAAGCCTATATATAATAGTCTCAGCTGGTATTGATTTGCAACATTTTAGCTTCTTTTTTTTTTTGGTTCATTTAACTCACAATAATTAAGAAATACAGATTTATCAAATTACACTTTCTCCTTTATATATGATAAAACGTGTCTACACTTTCAGATAAATTACCATTTACTACAACTTTTCTTTTTAATTATTGCTCAACTTACAATACAGTATACGTTTAGTTTGATATATAAATTACAAATTATTCAAATTTATTCTTATCCTTATTTGTATCGCTGCTTATGATATTTCAAAGATTTTTGATTATTTTCGAACTTAAGTCAAGTAGCTATTTATACAAGAAAACATGAATAAATAAAGAACTGGAGATCAAAAATTATAAATGTCAATATATAGTCGGAGAAGAAGTCTAATAGAGTTTTAATTTGTAAGATTCTTCGTCAATAGTAATTTACTGAAGATGTCCAAAAGAGTAATTTCGAAAGCTCTCGAAAAGGTCCTCAAAATTGAGATATAAATAGATTTTTCGATATGGTTATTTTTAGTTCTTATGCCACAAAGAAATTTTTTTAAATAGAAAAAAGTTTAGCATATTTTTAATATTTAGACAAATTTTTCATTATTCAACAATAATTTAGAACCTTTTTTATTTGTCATTCCGTGGAAAATTTCACGGGCTACATTTTAGTATAAAAAGCATTTTTGAAAAATTGTTAATTCTTATATACAATAAATAATTTAATATTGATTATGATTAATTAAAATTTATGAAGGAGTTTCACTTTAATTTTCAACTTGTAATAAATCATGAAAAACAAAAACAAAACTGAACAATACTGTGAAAAACGATTGTTTCAAAATGAATTGTCTAAATGTAATTATCAGAATACTTTTAGGTTTTAGTAGACATAGTGTTTATTAAATTTTGAGAATTTCAACTATGAGATGAAACATTCAATTTGGATAATGAGCGCATTTTGAAGAACAAATGCTGCTCTTTCAAGCGAAATCTTGCCGCTTGCGATGCAATATTCCATTCACGCGTTGTAGCACTTACTAAATTTGTTATGGAAGGAAACAAAAAATGACTTGAAATTCTCACTCAAATAACTTCTACAAAACAGAAACGCTGTAATGCTTGAAAGATCAAATACTACTCTTCAAAACGTGCTAATTATCCAAATTGAATAATTCGTCATTTAGTTGAAATTTTTATATTTAATAAATACTATATCTACTGGAAACTAGAAACATTCTTACCATCATACTTAGATAATTGATTTTGAAATAATAGTTTTTCACAGCTGAATGATATATAAAAAAAAAAGGTTTTAAATTATTTTTAAATAGGGAAAGATTTGGCTAAATATTAAATATGTGCTTAACTTTATTCCATTAGAGAAAATTTCTTTGCAGTATAAGAACTAAAGACAACTCTGTTGAGAAATCCTATTTACATATCAGTTTTGTAGACTTCTTTAAGAGCTTTCGAAATTACTCTTTTGGACATCTTCAGTAAATTACTATTGACGAAGAATCTTACAAATTAAAAGTGTAGCAAATTTTTTTTCTCCTACTTTTTATAAATATATTATTTTGAAGATTAAATTATTGACGTCAAAATATNAATATGATTTAGTTGTGGCTAAACAAAATAGCACTAACTTAACTATTCTGCTAGCATAACACGCATGCAAATAATCTAATTACACAAGAAAAAAGTTTTGTAAGATACTGCGAATTTGTTCAATGAATTTATTAATTATCACTTTGTAGTACAAAATGAGTAGTTTCATGAAATGAAGCTCTAGAAGCAGTGTTGAACCACGGAGCAAGAATTTGAATTAAATTCCATAGGTCGTGAGAGGCATAATCATGACACTGAAAGGTCCTGCAATATTATTGAGAAATACGTATAAAGAAAATCACAGATTAAAATATCTGTTTTTCGTTGTCTATTCATACTCACTTTAACAAACTAGCAATAATATTTCTTTTCATGATAAGTACACATTGATAGTTTGCAATAACTGACAAATCGAAAAATAAGTTGCTAAATTCTTTCACTTAAAGGATACTTAACTCCATCTTGTTTTACATTTGAATTCTAAAGAAAGTGTACAAACAAATTTTTTATTTTTACGCTATTGATGATAAAAAGAAACATTTCTGAAATTGATAGATTGCATAAAATCCATTAATTCAACGCATTCATACTAGATATGTACAAAATCTAAAATTTTTCAGTTGTTTTTAGTATTGCTATATATGTTCAATTCAGTATTTATTAGTAATTGTTGAACCATATTCAATAGAATGTATTAACTATATTTTACTGCGTATACATATAATAATCAAAACTGATGTTGCCACAGGATGTAATGCATTTCTTTCTACTTTTTTCATTTCTTTTTGTAGTCTATTATTTCGAATATAATAATGCACAAATCTAACATCTTAGCTTGCATCTAAGTAAATTCATGCTTCGACAGTAATTACTTAATTTATATATATATATATAGGTATATAGCATTTGTTGATCGACAATACATATGTCAAGCTCTGCATTATCTCTTATTCATAACAACTTAATATAATCGATTTAATAGTCTATTGTTAAGATATTTTGTGTGTTTAATAAGCATAACTAGCTCTGTTTCCTGACCTTATTAGCAATATGAGCAATGATATTCTTCAATAAGTTCAAAATTGATTTTCGATAATTCTTGTTGAGTTACAGAATATGAATAATTTTTAATCCAAAGATAAATGACGATACGTTCGATCAAAATCTGGAGAATTTTTTTTTCAAGATTTCTTTATATTTTTTTTTTTCAGTACATTTCGCTATACATCTAATCACGAAACAGAGAGAATTATGCAAAGGATGAGAGCGAGAATGACACTATGAGTGGAGAATCAGATGAGAATAAGGCATGAAACTTCAGAACTATGCTTTTCTTTTGATACAGTTGAAGTGTACTATATGCTCTATTAATAGATTAATGCATATAAATTCAATGATTCTCGGTAGCCCATCTTCAAAATAAATAAAATCAATTGCATTTGGTTAATAGATCTCTGTCGTCATGAATTATCGATCCATTGTAGCATGAATAAAAATGATGAGAATGAAAATAGAAATCGATACGTAGTTCTTACTATTCATATTTTCTAAAAATAGAGAGAATTCGAAAACTAAACGAATGAATTTATTTTATTAAATTTTTTATTCGAACAATATATTAAAATGAAAATAACTCGCCATAAAATTGATGTCTATTTATCTTTCTATCTTAAAACACTACTAAGGGTATATCATACAAAGAATAAAACAATGTACATTAAAGTCTATTTAATTTCTGTATTTATAATCGACATATTTGCTCTGTGGAAAAAATTCAATGTCCACCACCGAACAGTTCACGAAGACTTGAGTCTCTTTTGCATCTGAAAATAAACTTTTTACTAAAGTTTATACAAAAGCAAAAAAAAAGAACTGAATTATACCCTTTAATAAATTGTTCTTTATTTAATTTTTTTCCTTCACTAATACCAAGCGTATTAAATACTCCAATAGCAAGTTCGTCTGGATAATTATGGTCGGTTTTTTTTAGTTTACCTGCAATAGTTAACTAAAAATAAGAAACAATTCTAATTTATTATTTTTCAAAAATAAATAATAAATTTATACTGAAGCTTTAAGAAAAGCAGCTAATTCTTGTAGATCCATTTCTCCATCTCCAGAAACATCACACCTATTATATAAAATAATATGAAATATTCGAAGTGAAAAAAAAATTATTCTTACATTTCAAAAACATAATTTAGATGACTATCTAAATCTGCTGGTGAACCTGTTGCAATAGCTAATAAAAATTCATGAAAATCAATTGTACCATCATGATTTTTATCAAACACAGCAAATACATGGCTTTAATTTGAAAAATCAAGAATAAAGTTATAATAATATATCAAATAATCATACTCGCATAAAATATTTGCTCGATCTTTTTCATCTTTAATTTCTTCATAATATTTTATAAATCCTTTTTTATTCATTCTACCAGATGGAAAATCATTCCAAAAAGCCTTAAAGAAAAAAAAAACGAATAAATAAACATAAGATTTCAATAATACATACAACATATAAATCCATGATTTCTAAAAGAATGAAATAATATGATTAATAAAATCTTTTTGTCGAAGTTTTTTCTCACCTTCTTCACTCAGTTTGGAACTTGCTTTCAACAAAGCAATCACTAAATAGAATTCTATTTAATTAAATCAATAAATAAACAAATCAATAGCAAACCTTGTGGAGTAAGTGCATTCGATGCTCTACCTTTAACGATAATTTTATTACCCATAGATAGTGTTTCTCAAATGAGTAGCTATTTGACAACTAGAACGAACTTTTTTATATAATTATGACAAAAGAAAATCAGATATTATCATGATATACTATTATAAGTTTCTATTGAAAGAGAAGAAAAAAAAAAAGGAAGAAACAAATCATGATGTCATAGTGTACACCAAAGAACTGTCAACTTGTTCATGGATATCTCCATATGTTTTCTCTCTCTCGTCATTTTTTACACATTATTTAAAATTAGTGAATATAAAACTTGAAGGCACTCAATAATAAATTGATGTCGATTTGGAGTAAGAGAAATTCATTGGTTTCTACATGATTGTTTATTGAATGGTCTTAGGCGATGTAATATATAGAAACATTTTATAGATTATTTTTTGTATTTTGTTTTTTGACAATCTTCAGAAAAGCTTATTTTATTAATTCATGTGTTTTTTTTCTCCTTATTCATCAATTTGCTTTTTCTATAGTGAGGCTTTTACTTCATATATGTGCTTGAGTGTACGAAGGGCAATAAAAGTTCTTTTTTTTTCGTCGATTCCAATCGAGAAAAAGAACAAGATAAATCTAAATTGATTTATCAATACATAGTCACATACAGACATCATAAAATACAATTAACATGTAAGAAAGCTAACAACGACAAACGAATTCTATAGAAAAATAGGTCACGAAAACATTATTGAGTATTTAGATTGTAATATGAATGGTTGTTTCGACCTTATTCTAGTCTAAATGTTCAATATATGCTTCTTAAGAAAATTGTGCTATCTTTCTCTCTTATAAGTTTATTAGATAATTTAATTATCAGACATGTCCCGAGATGAGGAGTGAATATTAGAAATTGTCAGAATACAAATGAAATTGGCCTATATTGGGAATGAATTATTTCCTCAATGAAGGTCTATAACATGAAGATGTTCGAATGATTTTGACTAATCAAAATATAACTATCAATAAACTGAGAAACAAAAAAATCAATAATGAATTGAATTATATTTCAATAAATAGTATAATGATTCTGCTCTTTCATATTTTGAGGCAATGGGATCTCGTTTACCGAACAAAGAGCAACATCGATCGCATAACATATTGTAAAGTAATATAAGAGAGGAATAATTTCAAAAATAGAAAAAGAATGAATGATGAGTTCTAAAATGAAATGTACAGACCATAGAATAATTCGTATAAAATTATTTTTTCAATCATAAATAACCTACGAGAAACGGTCCAAAATAATAGCTATACATTATAATTATTAGTTTTCACCTGACTAATACTTGTCATAATCGAACATTATATGTAACTGAACAGCTTGCTCAGTATTAAATAATGGTCATTTCAAATTCGTAGGATTGATCTTATATTACAATATATATATATAAATAAAATATCGAATGAATCAAATATACTAGTGAAACGTTTCAGCATTAAACACTAGCTGATTGTCATAAAAGATTAATTATACTTTTAGACTACTATCTACAATATCTAACTCTTTTCAAAAATTCTCACTAGCAATTATACATAGCAAAATAATCATTAAAGTGTCTATGCATAGAAATTTTGATGTATGATCTAAGCATTATACTCAAATGAACCAGAAGAAGACCAGAAGATGTCATCAGAAACATATCAACATTTTGTTACCATTGATAGAGAACTCTATTGAAACAAATTAAATAGCTGTTTGAAGGAATAAAAGAATTCGTATTATATGTGTATCGCACATAATGATAAGCACATGATTAATAACACTTTTGTAGCGTTGTCGATATTTAATCTTTTTGCTTAATAGGCAAGCTTAAAAATAATAAATTTCTAATCGATATTTGTTTTAATGTAGAACTTTATCAGGTTTGAATATGTATGAATACTGCTGAATAGAATATTTTTGTCATAATACATAACCATCTTCATAGTGTGTTAACATTAAAAAAATATTTTACCAGTTTTACATTGTTGAGGATTGTGTTAACGAGAAAATAATATTCGTCGATAAACAAATGTCACTCGATTATCTTCTATGTTTATATTCGAAATCCTTGCTAAGAGACTAGTTTAGACGTTTGATGTTACGAATTTTTTTTCTTTTTCTTTATTTGAGAGACCAATAAGTTGACAAAAGAAATTATTGGCATGTAGTTATAAGACAATATAGTTTCTTTGCTGCTCATATGTGTCCAATGAGATTGGCATATTGAAAGAGAATCAACATTTACTGAATAAGTAGAAAAAATCTTTTTAGGACTACTAGAAAAATTTTGAAAAAGTGAACAAATAAACTGATTGTTAATCTGAGATTGATAGACTTTTCCAGTAACTTCTAAGAAGAATATATTAAAGTTTTGGTGACTTTTGAACAAAAATCTATTACTCTTTTTTTCAAAGAACGATATTTTTCAAGTATAAAATTGCTTCTAAAAAAATGCATTCATTCAAAAAAAAAAAACTCATTGTCGCATTCGTAAGTAGACATCTTCTTTTGCTTGTTGTTTTGCATAGATTTTCAATTTGTGAAAATATATGCTAAAAGAAAAAGAAGAAAAATCAGTCATATTATCACTTTTGAGTTGGACATAATGTTAGAAATTAATACTACAAATGAAACCAGTAGTAGTAACCAGCCAGTCTGCCGTTGAACCAGTTATCACTAATCTAGCATACTTATTTTCTTGATTTTATAATATAAATTTATTGAAAACTTCTATTGGTCTTCATAGTGGATCATAAAGGAAGTGTAATAAAATATTGTTGAAAGTTGACTATGTCATATAACACTCTCATCAGAAATACAACAGATACCGACAGCTAGTAGGCCCAATGTCTTTAGAGATTTCAGATCGGTCATTATCCGTAGGTCAGCCGGTCCTGTTCTGTTTGACTTATTCAATGAGTTGTTCATTGACACATGAATAATTAATAAGACTCGTTTTATTCTATTTTATCAAGGATACGTTCATACATATTGTTCCTATACAATCAAATAATGATTGAATATTATAATGACATTGTTATGTTTGTTGTTTATTTATGACGTCATTGATCAAAATCTATAATTTTGTTTCCTGATTGTTGACAAAAGACAAAATCTTCAACTCTTTCAATATGAGTAGCTTATTCTAGTTCGATAATGTTTCATGGATAACTTACTTTTCTAGTGCTGCATACAAAATAACATTCCACATTAAACAGTTTCCAAAGAAAATGAGTTTAATTGACCAAACCTGAAGTGATTATATATTATCACCACTTTCCGTTTACCAGAGTTATAAGAAATATTTTAATGAATTGATGACAGTTATGGTAGTAAGTGATGCAAGGTCAAAATATTAATGAACTATACCGATGAATTATTTTAAACTTTTAAACATGTCGTCATCATGATTAATTGCGTAATGAAATGTTCGATATTATTATCAATGCTATTTTTCTTGAACCATATTTATTATAAATATTTTGTACAAATTATTTTATACTAAGCGTGCCTAAAAGTAATATTCATTCATATATATGACTATCGATTTGATACTCTGACAATATTCTTCAACCTGCTAAGTGATCAATGACTTAGTATAGAATTGTTCATATCTGTATTTGTATACTTAATGAAAAAAATTCGACATAGAAGTCATGTTGAATATGATCAATGATCATCGATGTCAAATTAACTTTACAACAAAATTGAAAAATTATCTTTCCCACTTCACTATTCGATAAAAGAAAGGTTAGGAGAGTGTTGTAAGCATAGTCAAAAACATTTTTCGCTTGGTTTTATGAAATATTCATTTATTTGTTATATTATTTAAATTACGAACAATAATAATAGTTCAAGAACAAGAAATTCTTTAAAAAAGTACATATTGAAAAGGTCACGCATTTAAAAAAATGATATTTCATAGTTAATAACCGAACCAACTCTTCAAATAATGAAGTGTTTTCCATATTCTACCTTGTGTTCTAACCCAAAATGGACCATTATCCATTAGAGAAAAACACCATTGTAATAATTTCTCCTCACTTAATGAATTCATAATACCTAACATAAATTCATCAATACCAGCTGGTTTCATTATTACACCTTGTGCTTCATATTCTACTGAATTAACTAATGTACAAAGACCAATAGTACCATAATAAAAGACATCTCCAGAAGCTTTCGTTTGTATACTATGATAAGCAAGAAGACTTTTAAAATTTTCTAAAATATCATCAGCTTCATCCGAAGCATACATATTAGTAACTACTAAAGCAATAAATACTTTTAATTTATTACATTGATCAATAATAACTTTAATATGTTCACCATTTGCATAAGAACCTGGGGATTCACAATAAATTAAACAAATTGGATTTTTGTTTTTAACTAAAGTTTCTATATGTTTTGCAACGTCCAATTTGGTCCAATCTTCAATGCCTGGTGCATCCCAAATTCTTATTGAACAAGTTGATGTTGTTGGTGACGTATCATCGATTGATGATGTATAAATTTCTTTGTATTCATAACAAGCTATTTTTGATGTACATGCATTACGTCCAGCACTTGTCTTAGCAATATCTTTTTTAAGTATAGCATTAATCAATGTACTTTTACCAACACGAGGTGAACCCATTAATAATATATCAAAAGATTTTCCCAGAGCTGTATGAAGATATTTTTGTACATCTCCTCTTGGTATTCTTTGAATTGTTGATCGAACAACATCGCTTAGTATTTGTTTATTTTGTTGATTTGAATATTCTGCTCTTGAATTATCATGATCAGAAATAAGATGTGTTGGTATAGAGATATCTGTTATCGCTGAATCTTGCGAGATTTCGTAGTTAATGATTGGTGAAGTGGCTGGAACTATAAGTAAAAGTAAATTGATATATTTACTTAGCTATTTAATAAATTAGAATCTTCTCCAAAGATGATTTCTCATATTAGAACTCAAATCACTGAAAAGATGGAAAACAAATGTATTCTGGTGTTTTTTTTAACAATTTTTAAAGGCCCGAATTATACAATATTGGACAAAATTTTTGCGACGATGTTGTTTTTAAGTATAATTTTCTTGTAAAGTGGACTTTTCAGATGCGATTTGCGCCAATAGTACAGTCAGTGTTGATACTATGTCCATAGAAGATTTCATTCCTAAATGTTGAGTCATAGTGAAATTGAAAATATAACAATCTGAAGTAGTTGATTTTGTTGAACAAAATTTTTCGATGATCTCTTAAATTGAGTTAGTTTTTTTTACAATTATTCAAAAGAACTGAAACCATATAAATATAAATAGTAAAACGATGTCTTTTCATTTGTGAACAAAGAACCAAAATTTAATAATTGTTTAGCTGAGTTTTAATGATTCTTTTTAATTTAAATAAAAAATAATTCAAAGTTTCAGATTTTTTTGTTTTTTAAATTCTTGAAGATTTTCTCATTTCAATTTGACGAAAACTTCTAAATTTAACTTTACTTTTACCTAACTGTAATTTATCGAACTCGATAGATATGATTATTACAATATATATCATAAATTTATTTTTCTTGAACTTGAACACCGTCTGAATTGATATTCTAACATGGAATCAAAAATCAAATAGACATAAACTAGTCAACGTACAAGAGCATTTGTATACAATAATCAAAAATATAGAAAACGATATTCAAATAAAGACTGCTGTGACATCCTAGTGTTAGTGAGGGTTTTTCCTCTATACGTACACCTATCTACTCTACACTCGTAATAGATATTGAATTACTACTATAAGGTACGATAAAATATCTTCGAGAACTCGCTTTGACTTTGATTAAAACTTTTCTTAGTCAAGCACAAATCGATGACTCTTGATCGTACATTATGAGTATTAAATTTATCAATAATAAAAAAACACCATTCAGCTAGTCTATATCTATCGAAAATATTTAGTTCTCTTTACAAAAGTCAGTGTTCAAGTCTAACCGATAGTAATACTTTATTTTAAGGTCTAGATGACGTTCAAGACCATTTATTATATGCATATAATTTTCAATCATATAATACTTGATAATTATTATTTACAAAAATATTTTCTTTATATACCATGTTCAACTTTCTCCATATGACTCCAATCTTACCTAGATAAAAATGTTTTTCTGATTAAAAGTTTATGTACTGTCAACAAAATTGCAGTAATTTTTCTTAAAATAAAACAAGTTTTACTTGAAATTTAAAAGAATTTGTATTTTTCTATGTGCACTTTCATTAATGAAATCCTTAAAAGCAAACTACTAAATTTAATCGTCTTAGAAAAAGCTAATAAAATAATCACTTCGGTAATTAATCGAAAATTTAAAATCATATTATCGTAGTTGAACTTAATTTTCTTCATGCTTGCAAATAACAAGGAACCGAAGAAAACAGGAGCTACGTTTTAATAACTAAAACTTTCTAAAAGTAAAATATTTATGAAATGAAATGTTTACTATATATATATAACAGACAACTGACAATGTTCTTATGAATTCTTTATTATTTTTACATAAGAAGTAATTTTTATTTCCACAAATAACATATTTAAAAGAGGGTCTGACATTGCAAAAGTTAGCAGATGAGTTAAAGTTTCCAAAAACTCTTTTCCGATTTCAAGAAGTGATTTTCTGCAAAAATTTGCAGCGTGTGACAGTCTTTCGAATATGATATCTGAAAAGAAAAATTACTTCTTGTGTAAGAATTAAAAACAATTCACAGAAACACTATCAGTTGTCTGTCATCAAATAAGCATTTCACTTCATAGACATTTTGCTTTTAGAAAATTTTAGTTATCAAAATGTAGCTCGTATTTTGTTCTTTCTATTTATATGGTTTCAGTTCTTTTGAAAAATTATTAAAGACAAAAAAATAACGCAATTTAGAAAATCATTCAAAATATTTTATTCAACAAAAATTGACTACTTGACATTGTTATATGTCCAGTTTCACTATAACTCAATATTTAAGAATGAAATTTTCTGTAGACATAGTATTAATACTAACTGTACTTTTGATGCAAGCCGCATCTTCAGAAAATTATATTTGAAATAAAAATATTCAAAAAATTCTGTGCAGTATTGTAGATTTGAGCTGTAATAAGTCAGTGATTTTTTTTCTTTTTTATACCGATGATGTAAAATTATATTCTCAGCATTACTTCTATGTCCATAATATTCACTATTTCGTTGATCTCTAGCATAAAAATATTTCTATGAAACTCACCCTCTACAGTAGGAATATCTGTATCAAGTAACTGTCTCATATTTGGTTCTAATTGTTTTTTATGCATTGTTTGTTCAGCAATGTATTCTAATAACCATTTTGTTCTCATAATCATTTGAAATGGTCCATTTTTATGTCTTTCTTCAAATAGCATATCATCTTTCATTTCATATTCATAATTGAATACCATATAATAATGACTTGGTTCTGGTTCTTTTATTTTCTTACATGTCTTTTTAATGATATTACCATAAGTGGTTAACAATGGAATTACTTTTATTGAAACAATTTCACCTGTTCGACGAACATGTACTTGAATTGTACATTCTTCATCGGTCTTTCTCAACAATGATTCATCTATTGCTAATTCTTGCTACAAAGACTTTAAACTTACCATTTTTACGTTTTATACAAAAGAAAAAACACTAGCACGTGGTATCTTTATTTGCAAAATGAAAGAATTTGATATCTTCGTTGAATGTAGACAATTGTTATGTCATGTATTTTCGCTTTCTTATCATAACTTGTTGATAAATAGAAAAAATTATTATTCTATCGTCTTTTCTACAAGGTAGAAGTAAACCATGACACAATTTTTAAATGGCTAATCAAGAATCAATGAAACAATTCACTGTTACTGAATCTGTTTCACCAGAAGATATTCTTAAAGTTGCTGCTGAAACCTTACTAAAATCTCAACATGTATGCGAAAAAAACAATCCGAAATTTGTTGCTGATCATGTTAAAACTAAATTACAAGAATTTAATTTTATTGTCTGTGGTGCACCACGGACAGGTAAAAGTACATTAATCAATGCAATTATAAATAAAAATATAGCTCCGACTAGATCAGGTTCTTCTGCTGTCACATTAGAAACAAAATGTTATTCACTTGAAGGTACTTGTCCAGAACAAATCGATGAAAAAAAAAGTGAAAAATCACAAGAAGCTCAAGAATTTCGTATTAATATATGGGATACAAAAGGTATTACAACATGGGATAAATCCATTGCTGATATTATTCATGAAAAAAATCCAATGTGTATGATATTATGTTCATCTCCAGGTTCATTTGCTAATGATGAATTTATTCGTCCATTAATTAATCAATGTTTAATTTTGAAAATATTTGTTGCACTTGTTTGTACTAATCAATGGAATGATAGTGATGAAAAACGAACTAAAGTTATAGAAGAATTTACTGATCTGTTAAAAGTGAGTTATTATTCAATGTATAGCAAATATCTAAATGCTTCTGAAAATTTTGGATATGAAAGATGGAAACCTATAAAAACTACAGACACTCGTGAACTAGAGATCTACACAAAGATCTAAACTCCCGAAACGTTTTTTTTTTCACTTTTTTCTTATGCATTATAACTTGGTGGACATTATATCAAACTTCAGTTGTATTTTGTGAGTGTCTTTTATGGCATTAATTCAACAGTATCATCTTTCTTTCTTATTAAATTTAGAATCTCTTCTAGTGTCAAAATCTTGATATTCATTCCAAGTATCTTAGAAACAGAAAGCTACCTAAAAATTTAACTAATTGTAATTTTTCTATCTAACATCTAACATATCTATTTATTCGTCCATAATACTCTGCAACCAAATGATTCGTGGTAGTACACTAATTTTAATTTACATAATACCTCTGAGCATGTAGGCTTTTGCTAATTTATGGGATAAAATTTTTTCGGAGTTCGAGTGGCCATTGATGTTGAAAACAAGTTTCACTCCGTTGGTTTCTACCGAGGATACCATGAAAGCTAAAAAAAATAATTTAGAGTTCGAAACGAATATTATACAAACACTCATTCTGAGCTGCAATTTTTGTTTTTTTACTGCAATATGTCTTTTTTTGGTTGATATAGACACTAAGAAACATTCACGGATACTCATGGCTAGTTTGTTTTTAATTATGCAAGATAAAAGATAGTTATCTTGATATTGAAGTTTGAAACATCTTTTATAAGTAGCAATTAAAGTAATAATGTGTGTTCGCAATGTTAGTAGTTTTACATGAAAGATTCATAATTTGATAAGAGAAATGTGTTTTATGACCTTTTTTTAGAATCTATAGTATCTTTCTTATAGGTATACAAAACAGAAACTCATGAAGAAAATGGAATTGTTTATTATGGTAATATTGGATTGATAGCAATGGTGAATAGTATTCCATATTCTAATCGACGAACTGGTATTTATAAACCAAAAAGTGGTGTTAATAGCTTGATTTATGGTATAATGAAATCATTGAATGAAGATCACTTATTAGGATGGTGTTATACTCTTATGGAAAATGATGGATTTTGGTCACAAATGCAAATACAAATTGAAGAATTTTTCGCACAAAAATTTACTTATGGTAAATCAATATTGTGGTCAATATCAAAAGGACTAACCTGGTTTCGGAAATAGATCGATTCGTATTTGAAACAACAACTTCCGTTAGATGTTAGTTAACACAGTAGGGAACTGCAAAACCACTGTTTTTAGTCCCGGTCCCGGTCAAATATTTTTTTTAGTCCCGGTCCCGGTCAAATTTTTTTCCAGTCCCGGTCCCGGTCTTTGACAATGGTTTCATTTCTAAAATCGAGCAACTTTTTTTTACGATTTGTGTACTTTTATGAATACATAAAATTGACATGAATGATTTTGATTCGTTAACAGTACGAAAATTCTTTTATATCCAGTGTTAAAGTGAAAGAATTTCACTGAAAGCTCGAATAAAAAAAAATAACCATTGAATTTTGTTAAAAATTCTCATATACTTCGTAGCAGTCATTTACTTATTTCTCTCTTCTTTTATATNAATTCTAATAAAAGGTCTGTGATATAGAATATGTATGTAATAATAATATTTGAGTCAACATGTAGTAATGCAAAAAGGGATCAACTAACATCAACAGCTATTAAACTTTATTATTACTATTATCGCAACCCCCTTCAAAATTCATTCAAACAGTTCATCCATAAAAGAACAAAAATCACAATCACCATGTGGTATTAAATAAAGCAGAACAAAATTTTAAACAAAAAAAAACAAATTTTTGATCGTAATGGGATAGTTGCATTGTGTTACAAGTTAGAACCAAGAAAAAGTTCTCGATTTAATGGCTACTCATGTTCTATAGGATGTCCTAAAAGTTCACCAGGAAAGCGTAAATGAGTAACTCGGTCTCATCGGAAAAAAAATGGTATGTCCTGCTTGGTGATATTTTCAAACATTGGTATCAAAATTTGACAACTGGAACTCGATCTTGTAAATCTTTCTCGTCACGTTGTTACAAAAACTGAAAACCTTGCAAGGATTTAATAGAAGATATGAGATCATAATCTCAGCTTAACGTTGTTCCTGAAATTAAGCAAACTATTGCAACAACTCGAATACTGGCTAATCGCACATTTTCACAAACACTATAAACTTCGTCGACTTTGTCTTCTGTAAATTTTCAAAATCTTTTAAATTTTTATCCATTGACTCCTAAATATTGATTCCACAAAAGCAATGAAAAGTATCTTCAGTACAGACTACATTCAACCTTTGTATGTCATGCTTGACTTGCATTTTTCTTTTCACAACAATATGTGACTCAAATTTGGAAGATCAAGTGACAAAATTTAGCTTTTTTTCTGTTTCCTCAAAAACATTACGCAGCATTTATTTTCTAATTATTTTTAGTTACTGAGTGATTCGAATCTTTAAACTATTCAATTCTTGAAGGCTTTTCATAGATTTTTATTTTGATATATCTTCATACAAACGAATTGCATGGTATCAAGGCAAAATTCAAGCAATTAAAATAGACATAATCCATGAATTTTTCGCAAAATAGAAAACAGACTAAACTTTGATATTTCAGTTAAATGTCTTAGCTTTCGACAGTGCTTTTGAAGTTTATCTGTAGAAATAAAAACTCAGTGTATTTATCTATTTTTCAAAGAAATTAATCGACGAAGTTCAGTTAATAGTGAAATGAAACGAAAAAACTTTTGATAGGTTATTTCTGCGACACTCTATAAAACTCTTATTTCGAAAAAAAATCAATCAGAGCAGACTTCTTATTATTTTTTTATTTTATTGCAAAAAAAACTACTCAAATCTTATCCATAATCACCTAACTATTTGATATACACCAATGGAAATCAAATTTTTGTTGCGAATTTCTTCATATTTGTTAGAATCAATGAGAACTGTTTGTCTAAAATATATAAGAATAATTATACATATTTTTCTTGTATAAGACTAAAAATCAATATAAACATATGATTATTGTTGTGTTCTCTTTTCTATAGCGAACGTCACCAATAGAATAGAAAGAGGATATATGTTCTAATTGTTCTGTTTTTTATTTACTCTTAATTGGCTCAATTAAGTAAATCATGTTAACAATCAATGATTAATATCCTCAATGTTAGGATTAACTGAAAGTGGTGTTATCGGATTGTCGGAGAAGAGATACATAAATATTCATTTTTGAGCATTTGAAAAAGAAAAATGTCAACTTCGAAAGCACAATCACGTGAACCTCTTAATATACGACAACGATCAATACTTATTGCATTTTATGATAAAAATCCTTATCCATCGGCAACTGAACGTCAACAACTTGTTCAACTGACTGGTCGAACATCGAAACAAATTCAAGATTGGTTTTCTAATCGACGAGTAAGTGTCTGTTCTCTCTATTCTTATCTCCCATTTTGTGTATATTTTAATAGCGTAATGATCCAAAGTTAGTACCAGGTAAAACAACTTCCGTCTCGTTATCTACACCATCTCCATCCGTAGTAGGTTTTCTATATATTATTTTTGTCTTCTTTTATTAACTGTGTATTTCTAGCCCATGCAACCAATGTACTATTATACACCAGTAGCACCTCCACCAATATCAACTACTATTTGTCCATGTTGTTACTTGACTCAATCATCTTCAATAATTGATCAATCGCTTTATTCTCCTTGTTCAACATTTTACTATCCTCCATCAAATAATACTTTTCACTCTTGAAGATGTCATTTTATTATTGTTTTCTGTTTGTTTGTTTTTTCTTCTTTTAAAATAAAATAGTCCAAAAAAGTCATTCATGTCTCTATTTGAATTACTATTCGTTCTTTATATTTGTAGAGAAAATCACAAAAACTATTTAGTATTGTTCTCTTTGTATATCAGAACATGCACTCGGAACTTGTTCGACACCATATGATCTCTTTTCAAATAAGTAAAATATAATTCTTTGTTTAGTCGATATACATAAACCTATGATTCATTCCAACTGGACATACATAAACGCACGTTTATTTCTTTTTTTTTCCTACTTATACATTCTCTCGTTCGAGTCTAGGGTGGACTACATATAACATAAACGTTTTTTCTAATTCATACAATATACGCAATAAACAACCGGTAAATGATGATGATGTCAGCTCCATCTTCGTCATTTCATGATGTGAGTGAATAGAAATTTTCTTTTGTTTCTGAATAATAATTATTTTAGTTTTATGCTATTTATTAGTATTTGGCGATGGATTCTTACTTGCCGAAAATGGAAGCAATGACACCAATACAAACAATTGAAGATCAATTCGGACAAACATTTGATAACAATAATAATACTATTACTACTACTACTACTACTAATAATAATAATAACGATATAAATAATAAAAATTCTGTTGTCAAACGGCCAATGAATGCATTTTTATTATGGGCACGTGGTGAAAGAAAACGTGTATCTAGTGATGGTTATGGTGTTAGTCAAACATCATTGAGTAAACTTCTTGGTGAAACATGGCGGTAGAAAAAAAAAATTTACTATAATCAATGATTTGTTTTATTTAAAAGTAATTTTAGACATATGTCAGTTGAAGAGAAACAGCCGTTTTTGGATATGGCCGATACATTAAAACGTCAACATCATATTGATCATCCAGATTATAAATTTAGACCAAAACAACGTTCAACTACAATTAAAAAAAATTATTCATTGACACGTTTGTTTCATCATACAACTACTAATTTTTTAACTTTTCTTGATTTTTTTTTGTAGCTCAAAAACAATTATCAACTATGGTACCATCATCATTACATTCTACATCATCTACTTCTTATTCTTTCCAACAACCATTGTCACCTATTTCAAATGTAACTCCTCATCCTGTACAATCAAATGTTTTAACAATGTGTCAAGCAATTATTTCGAGATCATCATCTGAAAATAATGATAATTGGTTTAGTCAATTGACTGCAGAACCTCAAACAGTTATTGTTGCACCTATTTCTCGAACTCAAACATCTCCTATATCATCACGTCGAGCTGTGCGTATACAAATAATTAATAAACATGATGATATTGCTTTACCTACACCAGCATTATTACCTATGACACCTCCACCACCACCACCAACATCATCATCATCATCATCATCATCTTCATTTATTATTAATGAATTAACACCAACATTAGTCGATTATTTTGTTGATAATTGTAATATATTTAATATTCCTACTAGTAACAATCAACAAGTATTAGTATCTGATATGAATGATTCAAATGGTAAATGATTATTTCATTTATTTTAACTGTTTAAATTTATTTTTTTGTTTATGTTTTTTTATAGAATATGAAACATTACATAATTCATCAGTCAATCATTTGACTGATCTAGACCAACATTATGATAGTAATAGTTGGATCGATACTCCTTTATCAAGTTTTGGTACCAATTCAACAGATATGGTTCCATCATCGCCATATACATCTTATGATTTTTTATGCCTCTAAACTTTATTTTCTTGTTTTTTTTTGCTTCATCTTACGACGATAAAATTCTACATAGAGATATAAGTTAAAGATAGTATAGTATTTTTCTTTACTTGATTTTTTTCCTTGTCTTATCCTTGTGTTAATACGAAAGTAAGCTTATGCGCGTGCCATTAAACTTTTCTCTTGTTTTTTTTTCTTTTTCGGCTTTTGCTTGTGTTCTTATTTTTGGTTTTTTTTTCTCTATATATTTCTTTGTGTGTTTGGTTCATGTATATGAGTGCATATTGTATAACAAAAGATTTGAACGACAGAAAGAAAAAAATGAATGAAAATAAAAACATTCGCATGTGCTCTCGAAAGATTTTATTATTTATTAATATATTATTAATGATTTTTAACGGAAAAAAATTGCATGTCAAGAAAAAATGACGGAGATCAGGCGCTACGATCATACAGACAGCGAAAGTAACAAATGACGAAGTATTTAAAAGAAGAAGCGTTGGAATAATTTTGACAAATATTTGTTTAATATTGGCATTTTTATCTAGAAAGTGAAATCAATCATATTTATTCTTTAAATGCTTAACATAAGATAAATTCATATTTTTAATAAATTTTTGTTTTAAAATTATGTAGTATTATTGCATACAGCACATAAAATTACGTGTGAAAAACTAATCTGATTTTTAGGGAGGAGTTTTTTCTAGAAATTTTTGCAAAAAAAAAGACTTAATTGTAAACTATCATGATTAGAATCGTCCATTATTACAAATGTGTAATTATTTTACTTTTTTTTCATTTAATAAAACATTATAAGAGTTACTTCTGCATGCTTCAGAAAAAATCAACTAAAACAACTTTATATATATAAGGTATTTTTGGTCAATTTTGTCTTGTGTGTAATTCAAACAGAGTTCTATTTGTAAATTTTGAGAACTGCAAAACTTGGTTTGGAGTTTTTCAGAGATTCTGTCATTGGAAAACTAGGAATAATTTTCATCTTTGAATATTCTTGTTGAAAATAGTATTATCTGCGCAAATCAAAATTTGGATTCCTATTAATGGTTAGAGTAGTGTAAAAAAAAATTGAAAATAAATCTCGGCGAATAATTTCCGGAATAGAAGTTAATAGGGAGCTGATTTCTTTTTGTTAGATAGAGTATGATCTCTGTTTTAAAAAGACATGCTTCACCGACTGTTATGCATATACTACTAGCAGTAATAAAATATTGATCGGTAAGCAAATTGTATATCTTAACAAGTGCATGCACTCGTTTGAACTAAAATTATATATAGATTGCCCATTTACGTAGGTACTACTTCATTGGAAAAGTTTTATTCCAAAAAACACTTTATTGAAATAGATATGATGTCTGAAAGTTTTATGCAACAGAAAATTTCATAATTTTAACAATCGAATATTGTCTTGACCGAACATTTGAGTCAAAATTTTTCTACATATTCTTGTAGCCTCGGATTTATCCTTTCTGTCATAGTCGTTCTTGTTCTAATTGTTTATGAAAAACGAGACGTACTATAAGGTTAGATTTTTCGAACAATGAATATTCAAATTTCCACAAAGAAAAAAGAAGTATTCTCTCAGAAACAAATAATCAATAGTCTAGGTTCACTATAATTTTTGTGCATCTTAGAAGCGAATATAATTGGTTATTTAAGCTACAAAAAGTCAGCGTGCAAGATTATGTTTCAGTTAAGATATTGACTTAGTTTTTTTTTGTTTTTGAAGAAAATCGAAATCGATTTTATGATTAATACATAAATAGCAGTCGGTAACATAATTCATTTTAAAGTAGAGGTCACGTTTTATCTAACACAAAAAGAATGATCATCCTATCATCTTCTATTAGACTACAGTTGAAGTCTAACATTTGTCCAAGAATATTCAGAACATCCGTTAAGTTTTATTCCAATTATTTCAAACCCGATTCAAATCAATTTCATGAATTGGAATTCCTACATGGCTAAATATAGGCGATACAGAGTGTTTAAAGAAGAATCTTTTTTGAACTTGTAATTTTTCATTTTGGTAAGCAATGATGTTTCAGAAAAACAAGTTTATGATGATTATAAATGTAGAATGGTCAAAAAGTAAGGGAACGCAGAACTATTTTGATTTCTTTATTGTATATAGTCAGGTAGATGCCATATTTATAATACATACACTAGGTGATATTAGTGAGAAATGTTAAGTCTGATCAGTCGTTGAATACAGTAATTTGGTCACAGGTGTACAAATCTCACTGCTCTTCTGTAACTGTAAGAGAAATTCGATATGCGCTAATTTCCATAGTTTTGTCGGTTTATTTCGATTTGTGAAATGAATCCTACTTACCTAATTTTAACCTCTTTTAGGCTGGATCAGTAGAAAAAATATTTAAATGGGATTCATTTCACAGATCGTGGTAAGCACACAAAACAATAGAAATTGACGCATATCGAATTTTGCACATAGTCACAAACAAGCAGTAACATTTATTTGCACTCTTTTGAACAAATTACTGCACCCAAAGACTGAGTATATACTACATCTTTTACTAGTATCACCCAGCCTATGTAGTATAATATATATGAGGCCTACCTGTGACCATGTATAAAGAAGAAACCAAACAAATTCAGTGTTTCCTTACTTTTGTGACATCTTGGACATTTAGCTTTTTGAAATAATGATCTAATAGAACTGATTAATAGAAAAAGGTTTTTTACAGTTAAGCTGAATAAAAAAAAACTTACTTTCATAATTTCCTATATGTTTTATTTAATTGAGCATTATATTAACAATTCATCAATGAATAATCGTTGAACTTTTTTCTGCTGTTTTTTTTTATAATATAAATGTATTCATCAGTCGTTTGACTTGTTTAATTTATTCACCCAAATGTAATTGATTAGTTCAATTAAAATTCGATGTGTTCATTTATCTTTCTCAAAATCAAATAATATTTGTAAATAATTCAACAATAGGATAATAATGTGATCTCACAAATTGAATCAAAATCCATGTGTAGATCACAATTTTACCCAATCGAATGAAATATTTCCTGATATAAAACTCTTTTCACCTAAATCATAATAAGAATAACAATATGAGCATTGTGATTTATAAATATGACATCCAAGTATAGTATTTTTATTATAAACAATGAATATGCATACCTATGTCACTACAAATGAATCGATTGATTTTTGGAAAATAACTTATTGAATATCTACAGTTAATCTTACTTTACACTTGTTCGTCTCCTATGACGAATTTTTATTTGAATGAGTTTAAATAAGATTCGACTTCATGTCTTATATTTCGAATAAGAACTGATAAATTATGAGTGGATGATGATGGATGAGTAAATGTATGAGATTGGTATGAATGTTTATTTCATGTGCAGATAAGACACGTCTGTTTTTTTTTTCATCATCGAAGAATCTTTATAATGATCCATCATAATCATATGATACTGCGTTCGTGTATGAATGTTTTGTTCTGTTCTATTTGAAACAAAAAAATTGTATAAATTCACATTCTTCTTGTTTTTTTGTTCTAAAGAAAAACTTGACGTTTTTCCTCATGGTTTCGAATATTTATTAGTTTTTAATTGTATTGTATTGGTTTTTGTCTTCGTTAAAATTTATTATTTGAAGATAAAAAATAAAATTGAATTGCTAATTTTTTTTCGCATGTGACAACTTTCAAGAAAGAATGGCAAGATTTTTGGCTTTTTTTTTAATGAATCGAAACAAGAGGATGATTGAGGATCTTACTGATAGAAAGAACAGATGAAGGAACCTTAAATCATATGGAATTTCTTGAACAATACAGTATCATAGGTGCTTGTGATTTTCAAACGTGCACTAAACTGCTGACTGAGGGTCATATAGAATTAATAGGTGTTAATTTGATCAAGGAATCACTTGGAATCATTCATTACTTTTGAACTCATACTTTTGATTAAATAGAAAGGACCTCTAGACTACAACAACCTCCAAAATAATTAGGCCCTATAGACCTTTTCTATTGAATGACGACTATTTGACGTAATTTTTCCTATCGGACGGGATATTGAAAGCAAATTTAGACAATTTTCTTTTATTTGAGATTTTGTTTTGCAACTAAATTACATCATCCAAAGAATATTGTAAAAACTTTTGTTAAAACAATTGATTTCTGCTTGAAATGTTGAATGTTCAAAATTTAATTCGATTTCAGCAATAGACAGAAAAGAAAACGAAAGTTTTTGAACTTTGAAGTTTTCAACCTGAATGTAATCGTTTTAGGGAAAGTTTTTAGAATAGTCTTTGGATGATGAGGTCTACTTACGAAATAAAATTTCAAATCCAAAAATTCTTTGTAAAATTTCGCTACCAATATTTCATCCTTTAGTGAAATTCAAAAAAAAAATGTAATTTCGTAGAGAAGATCTTGAAGTCCAGATTATTTTGAAACTTTTTGTAGTCTAGAGATCTTCTTATATATTCTAAAGGAAAAAAAAGTCCAAAAAGTAATAATTACTTGACTTGTGCTCATTACAGATGACGCTAGTTCTCAGGTATAATTATTCTATATATTTCAATGAATATATTGATAATAAAATGAATATCGAAAATGAAACATTGAATTTTCTTTTTTTTTCTTGTCAATTAAGTCTTACATTCAACATACAAAACACACAAAAAAAGTTATTCGATACTTAGTCACTAATGAAATCATAGGTATTAGTATTTTCTTAAAATAGCTAACGTCAAAAGAATCTACTTTCATCCTAGGAGGTCGAGTACGTTCTTCTGATCAGTGCAAGTCTATTTATTAACTAACTGTCTGTTTCGTTTACTATAAATGTTTCAGATAATTAGTTTAAAAACTAAATTTTGTCTTTTGATTGTTTTTATTGGTATTTATTATCATCTTTTCAATAGAAACGAAGAAATGTCTTGTACAACTGTAACAACAAATGCAGGTGTTCAAATGCCACGTTTAATATATGGTACAGCATGGAAAAAAGAAGCAACAAAAGACCTTGTCATTCAAGCTGTACTTAATGGATTTCGTGGAATTGATACAGCATGTCAACCGAAACATTATCGGTAAATATTCTATGTATATATATGGAGGATATTTCAAAAGTCTGAGCGAAAAAAAGTGAATAACTCCTCAATAATTCAAGTGATTTAAATATTTCGTTTATATAGTTTCATCACATATTCATTCAAGATTTATTCAATCTATTTCAGATAAAATGTCTGTACTTGAAGAAGTCACAATTAAGATCCATCTCTGCTGTCAGAAACCTATTTTTTGTCCCAAAATCACCAATCTGACTGAAAATGTTGGAGAGTGTGTATCCGAATGTTAACAGGTCACAACAAAAATGTCGACTCAAAATATTGAGCTGTTTATGAGCTATCATAACATCAAGAATCAAAAATAGGTTTTCGCGAGTTAGAAGGATTTCTTCTTCAAATCTAAAGATACATATTTCGCGTCGGTTTTAAAATGTAATCAAGATCTATGGCTACAACTTAATAGAGTCCAATATTTCAAAATATTGTTTCCTCACTTTTGATAACATTTTCTCTCAAAAAGTCGAAAATGAAAACTAAGGCTCTGCTTAGCTGTAGAGCACAGGTTTCTCTTCAATTCAAAACTTTCCCGAGCTTTCTAGCACGTACAACGTCTGAGAAATCTTTGACGCAAGAAAATACAAAAACACGAAACTAACGAGGGAAGTACTCAAACTGTTTAAAAGCTTTTGAGTTCGGACTTTGTGCATAATGTAGACCCCAATGAGATATAGAAAACCTCAAAAGGACAAGTGCCCATAGACTTTCTACGCAAAGTTATAGGTGTTTTACTGAAATTTTAGCCTATAGTACTGTATGCACTAAATAATCGAATGACGACGTTTCTAGCTGAAATTTTGCTCACAGATAGGCCTACTAGTAAATAGAATGTCCTGAAAATTTCAGCTCAAAAGAACGTTCCCTTCTCGAGATATTGAAACCTCCGAAAAAACAGGAGGTTCTCGAATCTTTCGTGAAATATAAAAATTTTTAGGAATGCGATATCTCGTGAAGGAAGCATTCTTTTGAGCTGAAATTTTCAGAACATTCTATTTACTTGTAGACCTATCTGCAGGCAAAATTTCAGCTCGAAATATCGTCATTCGATTCTTCAGTGCACACACTACGATAAGTTAAAATTTCTGTAAAACGCCTATAACTTTGCAGGAAATGCTTATGGGCACTTGTCCTTTTGGGTTTTTTTATATCTCATTGGGATCTACCTTATGCACAAAGTCCGAATTCATAAGCTTTTAAACAGTTCGGGTGCTTCCCTCATAAGCTTGACCTAGAAATCCAAATTTCTTTCTTAATAAAACAACACAGAAAATAAACCGTGAAAAGGTATGATAGATTTGGTAAGACGTTTTAGACATTTAGGGTAATCCAACCGCGTCAAAATCTGAAAATCGAATTTTTAGATCGCGATTTCTAAATCAAATTCAATAAAAACACGCGAACTGATCCCCCTATTAGAATCACATTTCAACGATTTTGTGAAACTGTTACTGTCAAAAATTGAGCACGTTCTGGAAGAGATACAGCAATTACTCAAAAAAGGTCAATGAAGTTAAGAATGCTTGTGAAACTAAGCAACGATCAAGTAGTCGATCTATTGTACAAGTTTGCTGATTATGACTAGCAACAACATACCGTCTTATAATGGAACATCTCTTATTAAAGCTATGCAAGGTATAATTTATTCATCAGTACAATGAAGAAGATTTTGACAGTACAATTTTCACAAATTCGCTGGAACACGTTGCTAATGTAATGTTTGGCTGGTGTGTTTTTTTGCAAAATCCTTGAGAAAAATCCGTACCCTAAATTCCTATGACAAAACTTTTTGTGTTAAAAATTGACAAATGCTACATCATTCGATGCAGTTTTTCATACTGACTCCAAATTTGTCTTGGTTTTTCTCTCCTAGTGCTTCCATGATAAAGAAAACATGGAAAACTCTTAAAACGAAGGTCTTTTTTTTTTTTAGAAAACTTGCATCCTAGTGCGGAAGCATTTGTGCTAACTAAGTGTATGTTTCACACATAGAAGAACATTTTCTGAAAGTTTCATTGATATCGAATTTGTTGGAAAGTGGTGGCTAACTCCACTAAAGACGTCTTGTGGGAAAACGCTTGATGTAAAAAGAATAATTACTTTTTCAGAAGGAGAACTTTTCTTGTAAATCGATAGAGCAGAGTTATTCTCCAACCCATTTTTATTTTTCACAAAAAAATTCTGTTTTTCTGTAATAGTATTCAAAATTCGACCTTTTTTGTGATTAACTTTTTCAACGAATTTAACAGCTGGAACAGAATTTCTTTTTACCAAAAAACTGGTCGTTAATCAAAGTGTATAGGTTACTAGTCAGATTCCGAAAAAGCTTACTTTCATTGTTTCATCTAATGTCCATGTCATTGTCCATTGTGTAGCTTATTCGAATTTGATCATGAATAAAACTATTTTAAATCTGACTTCTGTAAATGCAGACATTTTATTTGAGTGCATATAGGGCGTTTCAAAAGTCAGTCGAGAAAGTCAAATGTAAATATTTCTTATACATTTTTTAACCGATTTGAGTAATTTTTTTAATAATATATATATGTTTGTTCTTTAAATTTGTGTTCTATATATGTTCAGATCAATGTTTGTGCCTATAAACATGAGAATAAAAATCTTTTTCTGAATGACCTAATTTTAGTTTTCTCTGATTATGAAACGAAAGCTGCAAGTCGAATTTGGCAAAAACACATCAAATGTAGATTACATTAAAGTTAAATTTCAACGCTTTTCTGAAACTAATATAGTGAAATAATCGAGAACGTTGTGGAAGATCATCAAGAATTATAGAATGATTATGAAAAATGAACCATATTTATGTGATCGAACTGTCGTCAATGTCTCGTTCATTCCAGAAACAAATGGTACTTTGTACAGTTTCAATAAAAGATATTCAGTTATAATTCGGTGCACTGTTATTCGTAGAATGAAACAAACCTTAGTGACAGTTCGAAATACTTGATTGTGATTCATTTCTCACAAACATCCTAAATTTCGTCAACTTTTTCTTCTATAATTTTTGACGATCTCCCCCAACGTTCTCGATTTTTCACTGTATGGTTTCATAAAAGAATTAATATATAAGTTTAATGAAATCTTCATTTGGTGTGTTATTGCTGAATTTGTCTTGCAGTTTCATTTCACAACCATCGTTGACTCAGGTTCAGTCATTTAGAAAATTATTTTTATTCTAATACTTACGGACACAAACATTGATATGAAAATGTACAGAACAAAACTTTAAAGAACAAACTTACATATTATTAAAAAAAACAGTTAAGTCGCTTAAATTGTATACGAGATATTTTGAAACACTCTGTATATCTAATTATTTTTTTAAAGTTTACCAATAGAATATTATTTTTTCTTTTATTTTAGTGAAGATCTCGTGGGTCAAGCACTTGTTGAACTTCAAACAAAACATAATATACCTCGTAAAGATTTATTTATTCAAACAAAATTTACAAGTATTGATGGACAAGATCGATCGAAACCATTACCATATGATCCTCGTGTATCATTAACTGAACAAGTTCGTCAATCATTTACAACATCATTAGAAAATTTACAAACCGATTATCTTGATTCATTAGTACTTCATGGTCCTGAACGATCACATGAATTAACTATGCAAGTTTATCGTCAATGTGAAAAATTTGTTGATGAAGGTCGTGTTAAACAATTAGGTATTAGCAATTTATATAATTTAAATAATTTAAGAAAATTATATGAAGATGCTCGACATAAACCTGCTGTTATACAAAATCGTTTTCATGCTGAAACAAATTATGATCATGATATACGACAATTTTGTCAAGAAAAAAATATTTTTTATCAAAGTTTTTGGACATTAACAGCTAATCCACATATTCTTGGTCATCCACTTATTAAAGAACTTGCACAAGAACGTAATGGTACACCAGCTCAAATATTCTTTCGATTTTTAATTGATATTGGTTTAACACCATTAACTGGCACAACAGATGAAAAACATATGAAAGAAGATTTACAAGTACTTCATTGGCATTCACTTGATCATGAATCTGTTACTAAACTTAAAAAACTTATTCATGATTAAAGAAAATCTTTTTTTTTTCGTTTTTCTCCAATACTTTATTCAGGCTATATAGTTTAATGTGTATGAATTATAACGTAATAAATAACTTTTATTTTATATCTTTTATCGTTACATTTTATAGCTAGCAAAAATTGTCATTTGTTATTATCGTGACTTTAATTAATAAACGATGAATTGTTATTTGTTCATGTCATTCTCCTGGAATATAAATACAAAGATGAAGTAATACAAAAGCTTTGAGCAGTAACTAATATAACAAAAGAATAAATAAATAAATACAAATCCAATACCATAGTAGTATACATGCCAATCATTGTATGGTACATTACGATAACATATGCATATCAGCAAAATTAATTTTAGTCCTAAGTAATCCAGAGAAAAATACCATTTATGTATCTTTTCGATCAACCGTTGGGTTTGTCGGGTGGTTTAATTCTTATTTGAGTATTACTGTTAGTAATATTAATAACTTCAAATGGTTGAGCCATCAGTGGAATAATGTGTATTTTACTGAAGAATGAATTAATCATCAATTGTTGAATATTAAAAATGTGTTGTGGTAAATCTCGTAATGGATGTTGAATGAACTGTCTAATTGTATTTATAGCAACTTGCATTATACGGAAAGATAAATGTGGAACAAATATTTATTATTGGTCCACGAAACAAAAGTAGTAGGTTAAAAAGAGTATAAAATAAAAATGCTTAGTAAATATACTCAAGCTAAATGAAACGTTGATTATTTATACTACAAACTGTCGCTCGTACTGCGTGATGTAAGGACATAAGATAAAGTAATATGCCCGGTAGTGTCGCAATGACGTTTGCAGAAAAAGAACGATGACGTGGCTTTTTTGCTGTTCGCATAGTGCGTTGACGTTCACATATAGGCGTAACGAATACATGTTTAAGAAGTCATGCCGTTTTCCTCATGATAAATTGAATAAGCATGACCGCAGCACAAAAAAAAATTTCTTTTCAATTAAAATGAATCTATTGATGAAGTGAAGGGTGGCGTAGAAATTAAGACTACTCAAACTTTATCAAACATCCATAAAGACCAAACAAAAAAAAAAACATGTTTTTTTTTATCTTTTTGTCTGCATACCTTTCATAAATAATGCGAGAATTTTTTCAGGTGTAAAAAAAAAAGATGTTTGAGACGAGAGTTTTATTATTAGAAAGAATCTAATTACGAAGAGTAAGCGAACATTATAATTATTCATGTTCTAGTTTGACGTGGCTAAACATTACTGGACTTCAATTTTTTTTCACTGTAATACCCCGTATTTCTACTATGACAAAAGCAAACACTGTAAGGTCCTTTTTATCATTGATAGAGACCATTTAAATCTACTATTAATGGAAATTTTACTAATGTTTCTTTAGTTGCAGCTGAGTTATTCAAAAAATACTGAGCGTTAGGAAATATTATCCTTATGTCGAAAATCATTTTTTTAGTTGGTATAAAATCAAAAGCAACCAGGTATTCAGCATCAGTATTTTATCTTGTTTTCTCTGTCTTGATATTACCTATTACAGGAAAGACACTCGTCATGGGTTGACCTGAAACAGTAATAATTATTCCCAATGGAATCGATTTACTTAGTGTTGTCACTTATTCAGCAGAGTGAATCGATAATGGAAAGTTTCATTGACACATAAGTACAGTGACTATCAGCAACGATTGCATAAATCGTAGTGATAAAGTCTGTTGTTGATGCAGAATAGAAATCGTCATGTACCAGTGCAATTGTGAGCATGTTTTTTTGTCAACATCAGAAATACACAATGCCACTCGATCGATTCTTCCAATGGATGAGTATTTAATAACCAAGACTTACTGCTAAGTAAACTCGTTTAAATGATGGTTCGATCACGGTACGTCTGAAGTATCAAATTTGAATGGAAAATGTTTTTATGCTGTTCGAATATAGACAATATAAATATTCAACAACTATTTCTCTTAAGATTAAGAGTTATTGAATCTTTCGTTTTCAATTTGTTCACATGATTGTTATTTTATTTATTTAATTATTATGCAGATATATTGCTACTTCGTTTAAAATGAAACTAGGCAGAAACTTCAATTTTAAAGAGAAAAATTCGACATACATTCTGAATGTCGTGCGCTCATGGTTTCTGTGTATTTAACCTGCTATTTTATGGCAACATGCTCACCTTCTTATTGAAAATTCTTAACAAAACATTGTTGGTCCCTATGATGTATGCCTGAATGGTTTGATCTCATTTACAGAGAACATATTTTTCTTATTTTTTTTTTATCTGATGTACTATCATGCACTAGCAGAAATAATCTTCCTGGATAATGTCTCTACAATTATGTCGCTTGTATTTTCATTCATGATTAGCTAGATCGAAATTATCTCAAGTTTATTATAAAATATCTTTATTTTATATCATTCGTTTCTCACTAAAACTCTAAAAGTCACGAAAATGTCGTTGATTATTACAGAAAAAAAAGACAATTATAACAAAATACAACTTTTTAATCATACCACTGTCAGAATTCGTAACAAGTCAGAGATCTCAGATCCTCTTTGTTTAATGATCGCAATTAAGGGTATTCCTCATCTCTAAAAATCTGATTTTAGCTTCGAACCTTTACGTATTTTTCTCATAAAACAACAGAAAGTAAAAGTTCTGAAAAAACTCAAAAATACCTATGAGATATAATCTTAAGTATTTCAAAAAGAAAACACTTTAGCCCAATCGAACGAAATTTGATGCAGATTGTAATGCACCAGGATGCGATTCCATGGGAAGCCAGAGTTTTTCTGTAAAATCTTCTTTGAAATTTTTTCCGTCGCTTGTGCATTTGCATATCTCACATGATCTATCTACAGTAAAAATTTCAGTCAGATTAGTTGTACTCTTGTCGACAACTACAAGTGATCACACCAGACGGAGGTATTCACAATATTATAATTCAAGTTCATAATATTTACAGAAAATTTTAATAGATTGAAAAATATTTCACTAAAAAAAAGTTCATACAGATGATAAAATATTAAAATCCTTTTTCTTCAGTCATAATCTACTTCAGATAATCATAATACAATAAAAATTAGCTTGTCAAATAATCTTTTCTCAAAGACGCATATTAATAGAAAAAGAGGAAAAAAGCAAACGAAAGTTAAACATATTTTTCTGAGATATTTTCACATTCTGTTTTTTTAATCGTTTGCCAAGCTTAAATTTTTCCGATAAGACAAAGTTTTGTCTTTGCACGTATTTTACAAAGAATTTTTATTATATTTTATATTGTAGAACGTGCAGCAATATAATTGCAAGTTTTATTTCAAAAGATAAATAATTTGGTACCTAGTAAAACTATAAATCTCGTTAACAACGTTATATCTTTAATGCTGATAGGATTAAAAAAGGTTTAAGCTAAAACTCTTATGTTAATAGTCTTTTTAGACTCGTATAGCTTTGATTCATTTTGTTAATATATTTTCAATCGAACAAACATTGGTATGTTTTCGTTTAGTATAGAAATAACGAATAACTTCTTCATATTTCAATTACAATAATAACAATTCAAAAAAATTATCAAAGCAATCATCATAAATACTACGTAGTAATAAACCTTATCAACTTCTCTCGCAATTAATGTTCAATATCACTTCATTTTTTTAAAGATCTATGTCAAGTTTGAAATCATATTGAATTTGTTTAATTAAAGTAAATCGTTCAATGTAGCTTTATATGTACATAAATTTTATCTAATATTTGATAATTTTTTTAATTGTTGATCAATATAATTCTTCAGCAAAACGACAAAAATAAATCATTCGATCTGGTATTTTCATTGCCTACGAAAACATCAGTCTGTCAATCACTAATTCAAGCTTAGAAGTGCAAGAAAACAATTAAATAATCATCATCAACATTTTGAAACATATGCACTTAAATCTCCTACAAACATCCATTGAAAATGACCTTTCCAGTGTAATATTTAAAGATGATTAATCTATTCAATGTTCGTTTAAAAAAATTTGATGCTTATTAAAAATAAACAAATTTGATGTGTAATCAAAAAATACAAGTATAAGTTTTAGTTTTAATTTATTTGTGTTGATATTCGTTTGAGATATATAAATAATTATGGTTAATATAAGGATAACATTGACAACGACAACATTCAAATGTGCTTGAAACTACATGTAGTTTTGGTAATATGTAAATAAGAAACATCTGTTTGATCGTGCGAAATCAAACTTCGATATGTTTCACATTCATTCAAATCAATTTAAATTAATTTTTCATTAAGATTCAATTCTACGGAGCAACAAAAGTGCAAAAATTTACATATTCCTTTTGTGCTGATGTTTGTTTTGGTTGATATGTAGTATAATCATAATAATTCATAGGTTTCTTTACAGAACAGCGAAATGTGATTTCTTCAACGCAAAAAAAAATGAAAGAACGAATATGAAACAAAACTCAAATGGAAAACTGACTCGATTTATTTAAGAATGATTGTTTATGCTATGATAATAATCAAAATTTACTTTGAATGACATAAACAATTTTCAAAAGATCAACATATTCAAAAATATTTTAGTCTTACTGTTCAACCGTTTCTCGACATATTATAGTCGTTGATAAATTAAGTGATGCGGAATCTGAAGTAGATATATCAATGAATCAAATACGAGATGATGATTCATCTTCTGCACATTTTTTTCTTTTCTTCATTCATTAAATGCAGAACGGAGAAGTGCAGACAGTACTTATAAATTAAATACACAGAAAACAATTGTAAAATATCATATTGCTAAATTTATATCCGATAATATATTAATTGTAAATGTTGCAGTAAAAGTTAAAATTATACTAGTAGAAATCAATATTTTATTTTCTATTCGTAGAAAATGAAATTTCAATTTCTATTGAGACACAAACATAAAACACTCTCAATAAATAGAAGTAGATATTATATGAAATTACGTTTCAATCATTATCAATGAACTAAAGATAATTTTTTCTCGGGAGATTTCTTCTTTTTTTGTTTCTCTAGGAAGTCAAATTTTGCTGTTCTGTAAAGAAGCTTAAATATTATAAACATGTCTGGCGTCAACCAAAACAAACGTCAACAAAGAATGAGTATGTAAATCTTTCCAGGCCTGTTTCTTTGTATAATTAAATTAAAAAAAGTGCTCATTTCTATTGTTTTGAATGCATCTTATCCGAGATCTCTATTGAATAAGAAAGATTTCAGTTTCCAATCTCAATTATATTCCAATTGCTGAAATAAACCAAAACAAATCCTACAACGAATGTTTGTTGTATTTTTATCAAATCATTGTATATGAAAGTATAATTAATGTCCCACATTTACTATTGAAGATGTATTGTCTGGTTGACAACGAATTGCTGTGCCGACGTCGTCTATAAACATAACACTGAGTCATCCGATTCTGAAATGAAAGTCAGGTACGGTTTCGTAGAGGTAAAGAAAAGGAAAAAGCGAAGTCACAGAAATTCTATATAAGGCGAGAGCATGCAGACATTTGACATCTGAAAAAAAAAATTATTACGGGTGAGACAAACACAAACAATGGGAGACGGAATATTTCAATATGACAATGATGATGCTCAAGGATTCGAAGAAGTACCAACAGGTTCATCGACTACGTTAAATTCTGATAATGATAAATTATAGAAAAGACGACAACGATAACCAAGATTAATAGCAAGACTATGGTGAATCAATGCCACACAAGATGATTTTTATATCAATTATTTGAAATGATGCTTATGCTGAATATATCATGAGTTTATCATTCATTCAAACAATAGTGATTGCATTCATAAAAAAATCATCTAAGAAAATATGTCTGGATTTATTAAATTTTTCTGTAGCAAGAAAGATATTTGTTAAAAAATAAAATCAATACATAATGCCATTCTTGTTTTTTTTTTCAAAATTTTCTAATTTATACCAAATAAAATAATTTAAAAACTGACTAAAACAGCTTGATTATAATAAATAAAAGATAAATTGTTCAATCAAAGATTTACTAAACAATGGAAACTGTTTTAGGTGGTACATCTTCAATGGTAATAACAAGATCTTTATAAAAATCTTGTACATTCTTTTTCGCTTCAATCAAATGCTTATTATCACCTAAAATAAAGATTATAATTCAAAAATGAGATAAAGTAAATAAAAAAAGAGACAAACCATGCAAATTCCATTCACCACGACAATGATCATGACCTGTATATGTTGTACCAGGTTCAGCAGTCCATGTCTTTGGTAATGAAAAATGACTCTCATGCAATCGATATAAATCATGATATTTTTGATATTGTGCACCTGAAAAATCATATTTAATTCGAAATGATGCTTGCTTCTCTAATGTACTAAAAGATAAAATGAAAAAAAAATAAAAAAATAAACAATTTCTATTTTATTACCCAGAGAACCATGTTTCAATATCTTTCATTGTTGTTGAACCTAATTTAAATTCTTTTGATTTTGATGTATATGGAATATTTACATAAAGAAATTCTTCAAGTGGATCATAAATAAATTCCACATAATGTGAACGCATATCATTAGATATTGGACCCCAATTTTTTACAATAAAAACATCATCAGGATGCATTTCAATTGTCGATACATAGTCTTTACCAATACCATTTATTACATATTCATATTTAAGTAAGGCATTTCGAGTATTTTCTAACCAAGAAAAAAAAAGTAACTATTGAAAATAAAAAGAATTTTGCTTACTGGTAATAATAAATGGAATAGTTAAATAACCTGATCCAGAACGATCAGGATTTTTTAATAATGTTCGATCTTCCATAACAAAATAAGCTTCAGTAGGACGTCCTTTTGACCAATTAAGTACATCACCAAAACTAACATCCCAATCAGCTGGAATAATTGTTCCATTAGCTGGAAAGTCTTTAAATTCTGAATCTGCTATTGGAAGCCCATTTATTCCTTTTAATGATTCAGGTTTATTAACTAAATCGAAATATCGAGCTGTTCGGTCATGCGTAACATCTGCTAAAGCCATAATATTTCAAACTTTTTGATTTTCTTTTTTTTTTCTTTAATCTAAAAATGAAATTATATAATTTCTATATTTAATCCTTATAAAAATGTTCAATAGCTGTTCGTGCGGTATCTTTTGTTTTTTTTTCTGGTCCTTCACGTATCCATTCATGTTGAATTTTGTCTTCAATGCACATTAAAACACCTTTTTGTTCACATTGCCATCCAGTAGGTAATCCAGTAATAATGCCTCGAAGAACTTTATTACATATTTCCTTACCTTCAAAGTTAAATTTAACATTAAATTTAATTTTTGATTCATTTGATATTAAAATTCAATCGATAATATCATTTATTTTAGTTATATTCAATGGAAAATATTGACATTGTTTAGAATCTGATGAAATCGTAACAAAGAGTAGATCATCGTTTGGATCAACTGAATATAATATATCATTACGATTTATAATTGATATTGGAAAGGGTTCTTTTGAAAAATGTGACACAAAAAATAAATCTGTTGTTGCTAATTCAATTGCTATAACATTGCTACCACCAATACAATCCAAAACAGAAGAATAAATAATAATTAACAACATCAGAAAATAATGAACTAATTGAAAGTGAAATTGTTAAATAGCCAGCGCCAGATGTCTCTGGATTTTTAAAAGTGTACGTATTTTCATATGTAACAGTAAGAAGAAAAATATTATTTATCAACAGAAAAAAAATGCCTTATTCGAATAGAAATTAAAAATAAGTTTCTATTGTTCAATGATCACTCCATGAAAGTACATCACCTGGTTTAACATCGGAATCATTAGAAACTTTCAAATCATCTGGTGAATTGATAATTTAAGAAGATTTCCTGCCGTTTTCGATTTAATAGAGTCATTCGATCGAGCAATAAGATCAAACTAAGTAAATCATGATTATTTAGAACCTAGAAAAAAAAAACAAAGTATGAGAGTAAAAACCAGATGACACCAATATGCAAAATGAAAAAGAAAATAAATAGTAAGATAGTAAAATTATCCGTCCAGATGATTACAGAAAGTGAAGGAAAGAAAGATGAAATAACTAAGTTTAAATTGAATATATATATATATATATATAAGTGTATGTCGAGAAGTAGGAGAAAAACGAATATAAACGACGTCAAAAGATTAGTATGATATCTGAATCATTGATATTAATTTGTTTCTTACTAAGCTCTATGATTGTTTCTTGAAAAAAGAAATTTTTTGCTTGATTCATACAAGTTGCTTTTATCTGTCGATGGTTTTTTCTTCCTTCAAACTTTTTGGTCTATTTCTTAAACACTGAGTCAAAAGAAAACAAATCGCATTGATAATTCAGTAAAGTTCAAGTCAAAATCTTGGTCTTTTCTAAAAAAAAATGATTCGAATAGATTAGTATGAAGAGATATATTCACAATTCAAAAATGAATAATTCAAGAAATTTCAAGAAGCATAGAAAAGTTAGAGACTTATACATCTAAACTACCATGGAATTGAAATCAAATTAAAGCAATGCAATTTATTAGTTTTATTCACTGTATGCGGTGTAATCAGTAGATTCTTTATCACACCCTTTACCATGAATAACATAATCAGAAGATGTTTATCGTTACCCTCACTGGATATGATATAGTGCAAAGAAGGTCGCTCTCAATTTTTGGGTTATAGAAAAAGAATCGATCATCCTCATCTACAATTTTCATGAGTTGCCTTCATATACTTGAATAGCTAATTTCTGGATTTCAATGCTTCTAAGTAAGAATAATGTATGATAATATAAATCAATACATAATCTTTAGTCGCTAGTATAATGATCAATTTTTGAAATATTTTGTAGATCATTAAATTGGGAGAAAGTATATGCAGCTGTTACCATTCTTGTCTATTATACCTCGATTATATTTTTAAAAAGTAACATTGTGCGAAAAAGAACAGAACGCAATATCAATACAAAGATTAGTTTCACATTTTTACTAATAGTTCGAATCGTAGTCATTGCAAAATTGCAAAAGACCATGAACATAATGAAATATAGAAAAATATCTAAAACTATCAGTGAAATTTTACATAAATTAATAAGAATAAATATTCGAATTTTGATGTGTTTTTATTCATCAAATAGATAACTACTTTGTTTGTTTTTTCAAATAACATCACTGAACAATTTCAATAATTTATTATCAATGAAGATCTTCTAAATAAAATCAGTTTGTATAAACTCCTCTATTTTGAAATTCAAGTTGAAAAAGAAAATAAAAGGAATAATCGAGATTTATTTGTTTTATAACAGATGTTAAACTGTATGTCATAAGAATAACAATTATTGACTATGTTCATATGTATGAAAAAGATATTCATCAAGCAACAGAACTCGGCAACGTTTCTCTTTTATTCGTACAAATTTGAAACTTTTTTTGAATTATCACTCGTTTTTATTCTGATTTATATTTTGTTTTGGTTGATGTTGAAAAACAATTTTATCTTCTGCATCAAATATTTGCTAACTTTATTTTATGTCTTGTTTGTCTCAAAACTTAAAAATATCAACGTATTTCTCATTCAAGGCGATCATTATTTTTTAAGCCAATAAAACTTATTCAAATACATTCTAGATAAATTTCTTTGTAAGCTTTATCAATGTCAGCAATATTTTGATGATAATGCTTGTTGAAATTTTTTACGATTAACATTAGTCCAATGGACTATACAAGTTTGACGTCATCAAACTGCAATAAATTTTCGATCAAGATAACTTTATTGAATAGACAATGAGTAAAGCAAAAATTATTTCAGAACAAACACGAAATATTTTTATGATTGCATAGAAATAGAAATTCAATGATGAGAATATCAGTTCCCTACTAAATAATATCGAACATGACAAATTTAGCATGCAACAAACTCGAACTCTGGTTCAGTGTTTGCACTGGAGATGTGATGAATCAAAATTGCAGGATTTGCCGAGCCGAGACTATGAGAAGAAAATTTGTTCTGACCAAAACTAAAAACTATAGTTAAATATTTTATGGTTTTAAGTAAATTATCTTATAAATCATATAAGTTAGAACAGAATTCAAGAGAAATGATCCAAAAAGTGCTAGTCATCGATTAAATAAATAAAAAAAGCGAGTATTGATGGATTTTTTTAGATGTGATACGAATTGACTCTGGCGCAGTTTTCTCTGGATGGAAACTAGATTAAATTTATCGAAGCCATGCCAGAGATCATTAGAAAAGAAGTTACCGGAACCGGTTGGCCCCCACATCTCTAATCCAGACCGAACACTATCGTTCGATACGAAAATAAGTAACTTTTTACTTCTGAAATTTCTTTCCACTAATCTTTTAGTATCGTGCCTGTAAATAATACATTCAAGAATGAATATTAGAAGGCATTATATTTATGCCTTTAATTGATTCCAATAACTTCAACATACGAAAAAGAAGATTAATTAGCAGATATAAAAAGCCAAAAAACTTTTGTCTGTATCGAAACGCTTTTATAATAGACAATGTTTTATCTATATTAGACCGACCTCGAAGGTTCGGATTTGATGCATACCAATGCAAAATGAATTGTATCTATAGTTAATATAACACAGAATTAATGTCATCATGAAAAATCTATTTCATGTGTATAATATTCAACAAAAAATATTTGATTCTAAATGACTTGAAGTCTTAGCTGCTCTGCTTTATCTTGCAAGATTCTTTACTTTTTGATTTTTGTATTTGTTTATGTGAATAAGAGAGAATGTTTTTGAAGATATAACGGAGTTTGCATTGCTTAGAACAGAACATGAACAAAATTCTTTTCAACTGTTCCACAGATAGTATAAATCCATAAAATATGTTATCCAAAAATATTGAATTTATTTATAGATATTATCTTGACTCTTTGTATATAAGTAATTACTACTTTTTATTTTGCATACACATCAAACTCAAAAAGTAAGATAATCCACATAGGAAACACGTCAGGTATTGTTATTAGAATTCAATAATCAATAAAAAATTATAAGCGTAGCATTCTTATGAAAATATGGTATATCATTTTCAAAGAAAATATTGTTTTTTTTTAAATTAACTTTTATTTTGATCGACTATATAATCAATTAAACATAGTACATATATCTATTCATCATTTTCATTGCAATTTTATTAGTGCTTTATCTAACGCGATGGGAGAGGGTCGGTGCTTTTCCAAAAACCGAGCTGGTCCTTACGGAGGTTGACGTTATTGTACTACATATTATATGTCTGTGCTTCCAAAAATGGATGTTTTTCCTCTCGATGCTTTAAATTGACCTCTTGGAGAGAAAATTCAGGCAAAACACTAAATTTTATCATTGATTATATTACTAAAAGCATTTGAACACATATAGAATAAATATTATCAATAATGATATTGACGTACTCCGAAAATGAGACTCAAGTGAGGACTTTTAAATAGATAATTTTAATTGTTAGTTCTAACTGTAGCCCGAGACCGTCGATATTGATGAGAGGGAGTCGCAAATTTTCTTTAGAGAGCTGAAATTCTTTTCTAACAGAATACAAGAAAAAAGTTTTGATTCTACCAAAGAAAAACGAAAATTTTCCATGCTTGAAAGCGTAAGGGAAAAGGAAGTGTTACACTTCTGACATATCACCATTGATTAGTTCGGTTATTTTCTATTTGCACAGAGCAATAATAGGTTTTATTCTTTATTGAATAAAAAACAACAAAATAAAGTTTTACCAATCAAATTACAATCAAATTTTCTTTTTGAATACATACAATCTTTACATATATAATGATTTCATTCATTGTAATCAAATAACAAAAATAAAAAGAACATGAATTTTTAATAGGATTAATTTTATTGTGTTCTTTTCTCTTCAGTTGTATACGATGAAACTATTTTTTTATTATTCCAAAAACCATTTATATACTGATGAATCAATGATATTAATTGTCGATTATGTATACCAGGTGTAAGACAAACACTAAGAGCTAAATTTAACAAGCAAAAAAGAAACGAAATCATGTCAATTATTACATTTCGAAAATAATGAAATTTTACTTGATAAATAACAAAGCAGAATATTATCTATATTTTGAAAACAAAAAGCAATAAAACCAAGAAATATACTCCCAACCATTAAATACTAAACAAATAATTAATAATAAATTTCAATAGAGGATATTAAAATAATACCATCAATGGTCGTTCTTTACGCATTTTTAAAACTAATTCACATTTTTGCTTAATGTGTTGTTCAAAAGTTGCAATATGTTCACATAATCTTGTATATTTAGCTTCTTTAGTTGATGTCCTAAAAATATTATTTCTAAAAATGTATACATTCAAATTATTCTATTCGAACTCACCAATCCTCATTTTTAAATATCATAGGAATACCAACTGGTGCCAGTACATCAATAAGTACTATTATTAGAACAATACAACTGGCAAGTGTAAGTATAGGTGGATTTATTTGACGAATACAACTAAAATTCAAAATTTTATATTCAATTGAATAAAATAGGTCTTACAGAAATATAAAAGTTATTATTCCAAAAATAATCAATGAATCATATTTATGCTCCCATTCAAGTAAATTATTTATTGGTAATAAAGCATTTCGCCAAATCATTAATGATTGTTTGAATTCTTTGGTTCGACATACTAATTCCTATTAAGAAATATTTTTAATTATCTATTATAATTATCACAACTTACATCCGATTTGTTTATTGTTATATTCGACGTTTCTAATGAAGCATTGGTATTGATTGACATTGATAAATAAAATTAATTATCTAGAAACAATCAAATAGTTTCTTAATTTCTCTTTCACTACAATATATATATAAGACAAATTTATTTATACAAGATGATATAAATTATATCATAAAAGCGAGAGAGACAGAGAATATCAAAAAGAAATTTTTTTTTCATATAATTAAAGATCTTTTATAGCGAGCAATTATTGTTGAACATTGAGGACAAGTATGAATAATATTCTGGCATTGTGAGAAAGAAAAATGGAATTCTGCTCCATGGAATACAACTATAGAAATTTCGTTAGAAAATAAAAGATCGAACGTTTCTTGCCTAACGACTATCTGTAATAAATATATCATCTATCTAAAAGCCACTATTATATTATGTGGAAAAAATTCTATTGATCTTTTTTAATTAATAAAAATATATGAGCGTCTGGATTTCGTTACATTTTTATATATAATTGATAAGAAGGATCTGCGTAACTTTATAAAATCATCTATTTGTTTCAATATCGAATAAAAACAAAACAAGTTCAAGAGAAGAGAGAAATCATTCGATACTATAGCTACATTATTTCCTCGAATATACAACGAGTAATTCTATAGAACTTTAACTACTCTAACTCAATTTTTATAACTCAAACGAAGACGAACTCAATTCAGTTGAGAATAAATAAAAGATAACTGAATGAGGTACTGCTCCAGCTTAGGCACAGTGTGGATATACGAACAGAACAGAAAAAAAATTGATTGGCGAAAAATTGACCATCACATATAAAAAAAAATGTACATAGCGACTAAATTAATATATCACTTCTTAAAGATGACAGTAGTGAGCAGCTGTTTAGATATTATGTGATCAAGTATTTGAATATTATGTCAGCAAGTTTGATCAAACTTTATTAAGAAGGGTACTTCTCCAGTTTAGGCACAGTGTGTATATATATATACACACTGTGCCTAAACTTGAGAAGTACCAAACTTGGTAGAAGTCATCATAAGTCAATATTCAAATCAACAGTATATATTTTCTTATTATTCAAATTTATGATATGAATAATATTAATAAAACAGTGATTCTTTCGTAAGCATATCATAGTTTACATGAACTATATCCAAAGTGTTTCAAACTTTCAAAAGTAACAGAACTAGGATACGAGTGAACTACAGACTCATACTCTTATAGACCTTTATTTGATTCATTCTAATCGGTGATCTGTGACGAGTTACTTGAGACATCATTTTATATCAGTTTATGGAGAAAAGTGTCTTAATTTCAACTGTTAGAAGCTACTTTGAGTTTTCCTCACAAGAGGATTTTTCATTTTGACGTGTCCCATGCGTCCTTGATTTCTTCGTCATTTTTGAAAACACTAGAAAGTTGTGCTTGATATCAAAATGAGGATAAAAATCAATCATATAACTTTATGAAGTCAGATGTTTCGATTTTTTTGTATTTTATCATAGAAGCTTTCACGAAAACATAGTAAGAAAAAAAAAATCGAAAAATCGGATTTTGTTAAATTGTTGCCCCACGTCTCGCTACATGTTAAAAACCAATACAAAGTTTCTAGTATTTGAAATGTTGGAAAAATTTAAGATGCACAGATACTCATATTTTGGCGTATAATCTTAAACTAACTCTTTATAGACTCAATGTATCAAGCTGAAAGTTTTACTGGGAGGTGTCTAAATCGAGATACCATTTCTTCTGGAAATCTTATCAATATTGAATGGTTGAAAAAAAAAATTTTTTTGAAAAGGTGCTCCCTCAAACAATAATGCTGTTGTTTTCTATATGAATTAACATTTTTTCTGTGTGGATGATTCTTTTTTCGAGCAGATGTAGAAAAAAAAATGTTAACTTCTTTTCTATAAATTTTTATTCTCATCTCATAAGTATGAAAGCAGTGCTAAATATTGAAAATAAAATTTTTTATCAATTTAAAATCCAGAATCAATCTTTGAAAAGTTCTCTCAATACAGAAGAACTCCTATCATGACACAATAATGATAAACATTGAAGAAAAAGTTGATGATATGATTTGGATGATAAGTAGATTGACGCTGTTTTCATGTGTAAGCTTTCATTTTGTGAAAATCACATATATTTTCGAAGAAAATAGTGAGTGCAAAGTTAAATCGAAGTTTTTGCAAATCCTCTTTTCCTTACATAACAAACCGGATCAAAGGCTGATGAGTATGTTTTCCCTAGCAATTGGGAAAAAGAGAAAGGCCAACAGTTATGACATATTTCTTCGTAGCAATTGAGAAAAACCGATACCAGGCTCCTTTCTCAGAGCTCTTGAGCAACGAGAAAAAAAACCCTGAATGACATTAACGACAAGACTTAGACTGTTCTACAGCATTTCAAAGTCTTCGTTGAAATTTGAATCGTTGAAATACGTTTGTGAATATTATAAATAGTGCGATTTCTGACTTTTGTGTAGAAAAAAATTTATATTCAAGATGTCAAGGATACTGGGTTGTGATACATTGACTTGCCACAGTCGTCGTATGATCAATATACTAAGCATGAACTGATCAAGTTATAATTTTAGCAAATAATATTAATGTTTCTCAACTTATTGATGTATATAATAGACTGTTAAGATCTACTGTAGATATCATGAATATGTACAACAGGTTTATTTACTAGTTAAATTAATGGTCAGAATAAGAATAATTTTAGATTAAGAAACGAAACATGAAAAAGAGAAATAAAGAACGAATAGCAACAAGACAAATAGAAACATAGAGCGATATTAAAGCAATAATAAGATTTTCTGTTTGTAATGTAGAAATAAATAAAACAGATCGTTTCCCCTAGCAATCGACTATCCTTGAAAAACAACTGCTGTTTACTAGAGGTGTTCACTTGACGTATTTTATATTACTGATATGAGGCGCGAAAACTCATGTAGGTTTCACATTTTAGTCCCAGAAAAAGCTACACTAACTAACTTTTTTATGTCTTAAGAATGAAAATTTCATGACTATCTTTTTTGAAATTCTGAAATCTACTTGTAACAATCATTTTCTTTGTTCAAATTGTCTTAAAAGGCAACATAATTTCATACATTCATTTATTGAATATTATAAAATATATTTTTTCTTTTTTAATTCATAAAATAATTTGTTGTCATTAAATATAAATAAATCTCGAAAAGATTGCAATCATTAAATAAGAGAATAACAAAGAATATTTGAATATCAAAAGACTTTCGTATTAAAAAAAAAATAATATCTATCCAAACTAAAAGATAACAATGAAAAATATAAGTGAATATTATCTTTCGTGTAAAATACACAAGAATGAAACAGTGAAACTGACATGAGTAATATGAGATAAGGGATAGTGATAAAACTTTTTTACTTTTGAAATATAAAAGCAAGTGAAAAGAAGAAATATAAAGTAAAAATATCAACATGGCACACGAATTCCAACCAAATGACATAAATAAGTTACCACCATCGTATCAAGCAAGTAATACAGCAAATGTTGGAGTGTCATACCAGCAACAAGCACCTTTTGCAGGACAACCATCAAGCTATGGTGAGATCACTATATAAAGTACTAATACATGAAATATATTTCTTTTTATTGATAGGTACACCACCACCTATTCCAGTGTACACTCAAACGACAACAATTGTTCAACCTTGCGGAACATTATTAAGTCATTATCCTCAATCAATGCAATGTCCATCATGTCGACAACAAATTGTTACAAGAGTTAACTATGAGCCTGGTGGTGCTACATGGCTTATTGCATTTCTTGTTTGCATATTTGGTGGTTTTCTTGGTTGCTGTTTTATTCCTTTCTGTATTCCAGCATGTCAAGATGCTGTTCATATATGTCCATTGTGTAATGTACATATTGGTCGACGAAATGTTTTTTAGCGAAAATAATAATGACATTAAAATATGTTTTCTTTTGTTTTTAATCGAAATTATTTTTATATGAATAATTTATCATATTAATTGAAATATATATTTTTTGGTTAGAAATACCATTCATAATATGTTGCGTAAACAAATTCTATATCAATATTCTGAGACATAAATCTAGTTTTATTTTACATACTTTGAAAAAACTTATCATTTAATTTTCTTCTTATACAAGAAAGTCGATTCAGTTGACCCGGTATGGATACGTTTTTTCGTATCCAAACCCAAATAGCTTTACCTGGTACTTGATCGGATCTGAATCGGAGTCAATCGACATGTAGCAGTTAGTTTTACAGTTATAGTACAGTTTTCAAAACTTTACTCTATATGAAAAAGTATACGATTTAGTTTCTTCCATAAATATCAACAGAAACAAGAGATCATCTCAAATTCCATAAAAAGACAAGTGATTTAGGGTTAACTTGGTGTGTTTCTGCTTCTAAAATCCAATTAATTAATACATACATGAATTCTTTCTCCATCACGATAATACATGTTCAACTTTTTAAAAATTTATTTTCCTGTCCATGTATTCAATTACTTCTTCATATGATTCCCCATCATTAGTAGACGAACTTTCATTAAAAACGAATTTTCTTAGTAAAGCAATATCGCTTTTCACTTCTGTGACCTATTTTCAAGTACAATGAATTGCTCGATTATAATCGAACCGGTTTATATTCCTATACTTTTAAATATGTAATGCAGTTTACGAAAGTACCAATATTTTGAAACGTCGAGATCTCATAAATTGTCACGTATGCTCTAAAATCCGGATCCGATCTGACAGGTTTTTTCATATCCGATAACTGACCCGATTGTAGGGCACTATATAGAATAGATATATGCATATAGATGCATCTAGGTATAAACCTGCATTTAGGGCACCCTGCCCCTCAGAAAATCCACTCTTTCGAAAAAAAAGTCTGAAGTTGAGTTTTTATCATAGGAAGATGAAGCAAGATTACCTCACTCAGAATATTTGAGTGTTCTAAAAAAGGTCAAATATTAATAGACTTTTTGGAAAACATTTTGATCTCATTACTGTGTTTTCCAGAAATTGTTGTGGCTTAGTTAATGCCATCTGTGACGTGTTTTTAAAAATTCCACATAGATATATTATGAAGATACCATTTTAACATTATTTTTCTAGATTTGAACAATAAAATCCAGTCTAAACTGTTGTACCGGTTTTTTTTCAGAGCATAGATTTCATTAAGAAAAATTGAAATTCCTTCTCCCTGGTTCGAGATATAGCCAATCTTTTTTTTTGTGTTAAAAGTCTAAATGTAAGTAAACTTTTGCCCGATCAGATATTCTTATAGTTAATTTCTACGTTGAGAAAAGCGAGATTTATTGCCATGAAGTGACATGTTTTTCTCGGCTATTTTAACACCAAATATACTATAGTAATCATAAAAAATAAATGGAAGCGAATTTCAAAATTCCGTGCAGATAAAACCTACGCACAATCATTGGCTTTAATTTGAAACCATCCCAGCCTTTGTAGCTCTTGTAATGACGAAATTATAACAATGTTTCCGAAGGCTATTAATGAACTATAAATAAGCCAGAAGTTCAGTCTAGTTTGATATATCGAGCTGAAATTTTTATCAGAAACGTTTCTCACTAGAACTATTCATTCCAGAGAACTTCAATCGAAATGAACTATTCTAAGTGGTACATTCATTTAAAATCAATTTTGAATATGCTACACTTGTATAATTAAGTGCTGTTTATGTACGCAATGTTATTAGTTTTTCTAGAGAAATATTGTCAAAATTTTTTATCGTTGCATTGTTGGAACTATATTCGCTTTTGTTCTTTTTTACTGTTCTTAAAATGTTATTTTTAATTTCAAATGATAATTGAGTCCAATGAATGAAAAGTTCTTTTTACCATATATTGATATATATCGAATTCTGATATTCTCTCTATGATATGCGGTCGTAAATAGTATTCTATATCGATTTCAGAGATTTTGTGCTCGAGTTTTCAATATTTTAAATAAGAAACTTAAAATTGAGAATAATTTGATTTTTCATCGTTCATATTATTCTGTGTTATCTTCATGTTTGGAATAAAACTTATATTACATATATATTGAATCATCAAAATCAGAGAAACTAATAAAGTTATTTAAAAAAGAAACAATTAGTTATATTAGCGCTATTTCTATTGCAAAAAATTAATATCCCATTATTCAAATAATGATGTTTTAGTTTATTATAGTCTTATATTCAAATTTAGTCTAATTCTTAATTATTGCATCACTTTATCATGTATGCACCGCTTAACAATCGATCGAACAGTTCAATAGTTTAATAACAATGATCATCATTTCTAAAAGCATCATAAGTGGAACAAACACCCCTGTAAACGACCATAATCTGTCATATATTAATGCGTTATATGACTCAGCATAACGATCGTAATTCTGTGTGTGGGATGCGAAGAAATACAATCATGCACGGACGTAAGCAAGCCGTTTAAGAAGCTCTTATACAAAGACAACATGTAACTTCTGTTTTACTTAGGATCTCGCCGAAAAACGATCGTATTTCTGCGTATGTTATATGGAGAAATACGATCGTCATACTAAGCCATGCAATAAACTAAAATACGGTCGTATATTATGAAATATAGAGTATATAGGGTCGTATCACAGTATGTACGGATTTTGTATTCTTGATCCTGAGATATTACTTCCGAGGGGAAAACAACAAGAACTTAAGTTTTGAGATCTCATGAAGTTTTTGAGCTATAGTTTTTAATATATGCTAAAATCTCACGACGTTTAATGAACTCTGATGAAGTCTCATGAAGACTCATCAAATCTTTGAAGACTACTGTTTGTTTCTCGAATACTCCTCGATTAATTTGAGTCCTAATGCATAAATGCTTTTTATTTATCATCCTACACAGCCATTCGTACCATAGCTAGCAGATGATCATTTGTATTATTGTTAGTATATGATTTTTGGTACCATAGATACCATAGGATCATTTGGACCATAGTCACTATATAGTAACTACGTTACAGATAGACAGACGGACACAGGTGAATGCTAGTTTCCAGACGCTATTCATTCAGTTTACGGAGCATCAAATAGTTGATGACTTTGAAACTTTCCAATAGTTGCACAATAATATAAGATTATCGATCGTAAATCGATTCTTTTTTTCCTCTAAAACTCATTGAGTAGAAGAACTCATTACTACTTTATAATACTGTTTAAGTCAACTATCTAATTACTGACTGACAGAAGAGAAAAAGAAAAAGAACATTTGTACGGGTATTAATTATTAATATGACATATTCATGTAGTTTTTACTCGACAAAAATAAAGATTCTTATATGATGAAGTTCTCTCCCACGTCACTGTTTGTTTCGAAACAAATTTACAAAGACGTCATTGATTACTAAAACGTTTCGTAGCAATCGCTAAGCAACAATAATTGAATGAATACCGTCTTTCTCGTCTCAATGAATGCTACGAATAATATACTTGCAATCACTCTATGAAAAAAGTATAGAACAGTGTGTCAGAATAAAAAAAAGATGTTTTGCCTTAATTTCTTTTCTTTATTCTTTATATAAGCGCTATTTATTGACTTATTTTCAAGAACAAATTTCTCTCTCTTTCCATCTCTGTCCAAATAAGTTAATGGCGTCATAACGATACCATTATATTGACAACTAATAATTGTGTTCTTATATAAATAAAAGTAATTTATTTTTTCATTTTCATTTTCAATACTTCAAAGGAATTTGAAGACAGCTGAAGAAACAGTATGAGCGCCAGACCATCGCCACCCTGCAGTAAATGAATTCTTCTTTCTATTTTCTTACTTTTTAGGTGTTTTATATTATTGAAAACCAGCTGTTCAAGATTCTTATCAAAAAGAACCATCAATAATGTCACAACCAGTATATGTAGGATCTCCAATAATTATTGTAGGTGAGTATCCAACACAATGTACATGTCCTCACTGTGGAAAACAAGTTGTCACACGAACAGAAAAGAAAGCTGGTATGTTAGCTTGGATTATCTGTGCCGTTCTTTTCTTTACATTGTTTTGGCTCTGTTGTTGGATACCATTTTGCGTTGATGCTTGCAAAGTCTGTATCATGCTTTATTTTGTAAAATATTTACTCTATTTTATGATACATGTAGGATACTCAACATTATTGTCCGAGTTGTGGTACACTTCTTGGTGTCAAGAAACAAATATAATGAAGAAAACTATGAACCTTGGTTTCTTTCACTTTTTATCTTTTAAAAATATTTTTTAATTTAATAAAAAAAAACAAGTAGCGCGACGTTGGCGTCGCTAATACCCTACTGAAAGAATATGATCACGTTAAACACAACAATTCGATGTGCCTGTCTGAGAAATTTTGTGTAGTGATTCTGTGCGAGACATTGTAACAAGAGAGAAACGATGAGCATGCAAAAAGTAGAAAATCTGTTGGCATATATCATCAAGAAATATGTGCTTAAATACTATCTGTCTATACTGCATAACTAGACCGAGTTTGGGTTTTTTCCCACCAAATCAACATCAGGGAATACTGACAGATCGTTTGATCGGCTGAATAACAGAATGACGAAAAATAGACACTTACGACAGCTATCATCCTAATGCTTTATGTCACTACCGNAGATTGATTGCTATAGTTACTAAGTTGTTTAAAAATTATCATTAGAGACACATTTCAGTAAAATATATCAATTATTATTTATATGTCGAGAATCATCAACGTTAAATTAAGAGAATTATTTTCTTGATCAATGGAACAATTAAAACGAGAAACAAAAATTGAGAAACGTTGTTCTTACAGGATCCTAGCCGACAGTCGGTAATTTAATATATATAGAAACATGAATAATAGTATATGATGATTAGGGAGCTTTCAGTTCTATCAAACCCAAATCTGACTGGGCGCAGAAATTTAGCTTCTGTCAGGCCCAAATCCACAAAAACGTGAATTCACAGTTCCCTAGCTTGGTTGCGTAGAACATATTCTTGTTTGATCTTGTTTACAGAAATACAACTTAAACTATTCCATACAGTTGAAGATTTTGATGTTACTGTCTTTTTGATGATTTTCAGTGACGAATTTTGCTTATCACTTAACAGTTCAATTTCCTGTTTTGTTTACATAATGCTGTTTTCGCCTAAGCAAAAAATTTTAAATTTATTAAGCGTGAAGTGATGAGAAAGTAAACAACAAGAAATAACATTATGCTGACTTTTTCTGAGAGTAGATAATGAATGGGTAAAACCTTGATCCTTTACTTGTTTACGTGCACAGTTAATGCCAAATATCGATGAAAAAGGACTCGGGTTAGGATCCGGTCAGGTCCGAGTTCACAAAAAAGTAAACCCGTAACTTCCTAATGACAACAGAGCAGAGCAGTATGGTTTACTTGGTTTGATTGTACTTAAAATCATTGTCTGATCAACTAGAAAGAGAATAGATTGATTGCTATAGTTACTAAGTTGTTTAAAATACATTTATTCTACTGACTGTGGTAATTGTTACATTGCTGTCTTATTTCATTTTTTATTGATAGTCTTAAAATAAATGATAAAATATTGTCGAGCCAGTGAAAAAGAAACTTTTCTTTGCTTGTAATGATTCATAGAATATCGAATATTATTGTCCTAATTGTGGCGGTCTGCTTGATGCTGGAAAATGATTGTAATTTGTTGAATAAAATATTATTCTAAATCTATCTCACAAATTTATTTATATCTTTTAAGAGAAAAAGAATTTTGAATTATGTTGATTTGCTTGGGTATTTTAAATATACAAGTTTCATTGATGAGAAATTTCACCTTGAGACGTCTACTTTATTTATCTAATTTCGGAATGCAAACATCAAGTGGTTGTGTTCGTTCATAGAATAGGAAAGAAATTTTCTCTATCCATCAATAACTTCGTAAAACTTGATGAATTTTAATTGTCATATGGAGATGTAAATACATTTTCAAAATGATTCAACGATTTCTCGTACTTTAAAACGATTTTCGAAATAAGAGACAAACAGAAAAATTAATAGAAGTTGATAATATTCTTATTTCATAATTACTTTAGAATTATGTACATTGATTTCACTTATTGTTTGGTATCTAGTTATAAACCGAACATTCCTCATTCAAAATGGATTGAAAATTATGAGAAAATTGATTGTGATATTCATAATGTGACCTCTTTCAATTTAATTATGGATTTTTGTTTTCGATTAGAGCAATCAAAATAAACTGTCTACTGAGTGTATCATAACTAAATAAGTTTATAATAACAATCTTCATCGCTAATTTTCATTATGGATTTAAACTTGTTGGTCATGAGAAATGAAGCAAAGATATAGTAAATTATGCTTTAACAATAGTTCCATAATATACGTTTATCTTCAACTCAACAAATAGTGCACTTAAGAGCATTTACTCGATAATTTCTGATTCGTTTTATTCAAGATCGTAGACAAAGAAGTCTATAAGATAGCATACCAGTTAAGACATATCTAAAAAATTTGCTGTATACAGCTAAGAACTATTTTACCAATATGTTCTTCAAAGTAATGTTTTTCAGACGACTAACTACACGAAGTATTAAATAACCAGCACATAGTTGACAATTGTTATTGTTTGTAGTCTCTCTCTTTTTGATCGTTTTGAAAAGCTCTTTGGAACATTATTAGCATATTAAGAAAAAAAAGCTTTTTTGAACTTGGAACACGTAAGAAAGTCCAATGAAATATAAAATAAAATATTACAAATTCATTAACGCTGATTCTTAAAACAGCTCCATCTAAATGTAGAGCAAAACCTTCCATAGTGGATACTTAGCAGTCTGAGGAGTGATTTTTGCTGGAAATGCATCTCTGTACATGCAGATTCTTCTTTTCTTTGTTATTATTTTGTACAATAAATTAATGGATCTTCATGCACTCACTCCTCTTATGTTCAACGTAAGCTAGCAATAATAATTTTCTTTTCTTCTTCCGTCACCTTCATATGCAACAACCATATATTTTTTATTGTCTCCTTTGTTTTTTTTTGTTTTGCGAGTTGACTCAAAACCTGTCGTGTATTTTCAAGTAGCAATTTTTATTTTCTGTTCTGTTGTTCAATGAATGTAAACTTCTCAGAGAACTATGTATAAATGTCTCATTCTACTCTACAGAGCATATCGATGGCTTACATAAACATTATATTTTTCCCAGTTCTGCTAACTCAACATGATTAATGTTTTTAATGGATTGTAGAAAAAACAATGAAAGGAAGTATCTCAAACGCTTCTGACTCATGATGTCAATAGTGTCTGTATTACTCATTTGAAAGAAGTATTTCTGATCTGCATGACGCATTTTATAAATTTTTGAAGTGACATCGATCATTTATATTGTTCTTTTGTTTAATAGTTCTCGGAAAGTGCACGGTATATTTTATTCACGGCTTATTCTGCATATCCATCAGCAGATCCAAAACCAGAAATGGCGCCTGCTTGTCGATATCAAATTCGAGAATAAAATATTGTCACTTGGTGATAGTTTCAAAATCAAAGATGAAATGGGTCAATCTGTATATAAAGTAGGACCAAAACTCTTTTCATGAAGTGATCAACTCGTACTCGAAGATATGTCTGGAAACTAAGTAAATAAAGTATAGAATCAAATTACGTGAATGCATCACGCCACACAACGGGATAGTTTCATGGAGAGAATTAATTCATTATTAGACAGTCATTACATATCTCAATAAAAGAAAATATTTCTTTTTATAATTAATTTCTCACAGCATCATGTATGTCAGAAATGATGAAAGCAATAATATTTTTTATTAACTATACTATTCTTAATGATGCATGACCATCTAACTAACTGATGAAAAAACTGTTCGATGAATGAATTGAGAAAAGGAATGAATTTCATCATTTTCTTATTTTCTGTATGTATACTTATCTAATTAAAGTTCAACAAGAACTACTCTCGACTTCATCCAACTTACAATATATTATCTGCTCGCTTCGGTGATGCAGATCGCCAATTAGCTGTTGTAAAAGAGAAACTCACATTAATTCATCCAAAATTTAAAATTAATTCAGTTTATGGTCATTATTCATTAGAAGGTCTTGATATTTTTGCTCACTCATTTACATTGGTGAAAACTGGACGTACAGTAGCAATAGTTAGCAAAAAATTCTTTTCATTATCTGATACATATGGTGTTGAAATTATTGATGATGAAAATCAAGCATTCATTTTAGCTCTTGTTATTGTTCTCGATCAAATTTTATATGACAAAGTTTATTAAACATTATTGATCGTTGAAAAATGTAAACAGAATCAGCTGCGGAAATAAACTTGTAAATTTTTCATACAGTGACCTCTCTTGTTTTTCTTTCGTAGCAAATAAAAAGAACGACTAATTCACAGAAAACTCTTTCAGTATATTTATTCTAAAAAACGGCTGAAATCTCATATCAAATACGTGATTGTCTTTTCTTCTACCCAGATTCCCATTTTTCTTGGTCGCTAGTCAAGTTTTTTATCTACATATACTTCAAGAGAAGATCGCCTGCAAAATAAAAGATCTTAACTTTTTGACAAGGTTCATGTACAATAAACCTTTATTGCTGAGATAAAAGTTTTCATGACAGGCAAGATTCTGGCATGATTCTTGTAATATAAGTCTAATCGCTGCTATATATCAACAAGACGAGTTTGTTTCATTCCCACTTTATTTTATATCGAACTGTAAAGAAAAAAACAAACAGAGCAAGAACAAAAAAATATCCAACAACATGCAAATTCCGATGAAATACAAATGGACAAAGTCAAGAACATTTACAATGATAATCGAAATAAAAGTAGTCTTATAGTCTAGTATTAAATTTAATATGTTCATCAAAAGAGGTGTAAGTGATCAAAAAAATTTTTCATTCATGATTAAAACCAGCACAACTTCTGTCATAATTTGCTTCATAGTATTCATTGTTTGGAATCGATAAGATTGATCTGCTCTCAAATCCTTGATTTTGATGCCATATTTTATAAAAACTTTCAAATAAACTATGATTCAACTCAGAAGTGAGTCAGTAAATGGATCGTTTCTATCAAATATATTTCCATACTTGATATAAGCATGCAATTCATGTTCATTAACTTATTGGTTATCGACATCAAAGAGAGAGAAACAATGTCTGTACAAACTCATTGGAGCTATTCATTTAAATTCCGATTTCACTGATTTCGGCAAGATGACGTTAAATAATTCTTAAGCTATTCAAATTTTTGAAATAATCGATGCTGCATAATCGAACATCGCATTCGCTACACTGATAGAGAATGATGCTCAGTTTGTTTACATGCCATTCAGTACTGCTGCAAACATGAAATCTTCGAGGAGTTTGCTGCTTTCATTTCGAGGAATTAAAGAAGGGAAACGTCTCACTCAATGATCTTTCAACATGTGACTTCAGGAAGTCACACTTTCTAATGACCTCTTGACTGGAAGAAAGACAGCAAAAGATGAGCACATGCACAACAAACTGATTGTTCTCCTATGCACGCTCATTTTATAGGCACCATTCTAGAACATACCATTATGCAATGATAGTATCACAAGTCTCAGCTGCCTGATGCTTATTTCAACGCAAATAACTTCGAAAAAAGATGCACTACGAGTGACTCCGTTAGCTTTATACGCTTATAAAGTATATGCCGCATATATGCATCGACAATATCCGAGAAGTTGAGGGTTCACTACACGATAGCGTGCGTCGGTTTGATTCCCATCAGGGCTCCTAACAGGGTGACAACTTTTCCTCTGTGTCCTGTTCTCCTTTCATTTTACCCTGTTCTGATCTATCTCCCGATTGTTCTACTCTACCCTGTCCTGCACTGTTCTGTCTAGCAATTGTTCTGTCCAGCTCGATGCTGTCAAAAAAAACACAATCGACTGGCAATTTTCACTGAAAATATTTCGCGAATAAATCAATTTATTATAATCTTTCTTTACTTGTTCCATTTCAAAAATTCTGTAACATACAAAGAATGAAAATATTTTCTTTTTCACACTAACCAATAATAATTTCATGCAAAGTAAACAAATAAGTGAACAAAATCAAAATTACATTATAACTGACAAGAGCGCAAGCCACATGAAAAATTTTCACAACAAAACACTTTTAAATCTATCTTTTTTCTTCTTACTAAAAAGCGAGTAAAGCGCACAATTTCAAATAAATTAAAGTCGAACTTTTCCGCCAAACAGTAGATCATACAAATTTTCCGCATTTTTTTATATGGATTTTGATCGATTACAAATTACCATTCTATTTTCTTAGAATAATTTTAGACACTGGTGTAGAAACAGATCAGGTGATACCACTCCACGGTGAAACAATATTTCAGCAGAAATACTCCAAAGCAACAATGAACAAGCAGACATAGTAACCTAACCTATACATAGAAAAGTCATCATATTCCATCAAACAAAGATAAATTGTTCAACCGACCCACATTAAAATAGTTCGCTGAATTCATAATCCAATCGAACTCTTGCACTGCAGTTTCGTCTTTCCAACGCATAGACCGCAGCAATCCTTTTTACGCCTACTGTTTCGAATGAAAGGGAACAATTTTCCGTGAAATTCGCAGAGAACAAGTACTTGGCATATCTATTGTCCCATGTCCTGCAAAACTATCCTTGAACTACCTTCTCCTGTTCTGTTAAAAATTCTGAAACCGACCAGACTTGTTGTGCCCTGATACAATTTCCAAATTGTCCTGTGGTCTTAACCTGCCATGTAATACCCTGCAGGATGCTCTGTCTTCTCAAAAGCCCTGACTCTCATCCGTCGTAAATTCTTTTCTTTTCGGTATTAACTTTATATTGCTCACAAGCTATCAGCAAATCACAAACGTCCACTATATGCTATGCGAGGGTGGCCGAGTGGTTAAGGCGTTGGATTCAGGGTCCAATTCACGAAAGTGAGCATGGGTTCGATCCCCATTCCTCGTAGAATTTTTTTCTCTTTATCCTTTTCCCTCTGATTCTTCGGAACATGTCAGCAAATCAAAAGCGTCCACAATATGCCATGCGAGGGTGGCCGAGTGGTTAAGGCGTTGGATTTAGGGTCCAATTCACGAGTGTGAGCATGGGTTCGATCCCCATCCCTCGCAGATTTTGTTTCTTTTTATTTCTACTGCCCGGATGGTTTTGAGCGAGTGCAAAGAGTTCACAGTAGACTGTGCGAGGGTGGCCGAGTGGTTAAGACGTTCGATTCAACATCTAATTCACGAAAATGAGCATGGGTACGATTCTGCCATCCGGGTAGATTTTTTTCTTTTAGTTCGGTGCTCGTGAAACACGATTTGTTTTGCATTGTGATGTTGGGAAGTTCGCAACGAATCAGAAGAGTTCAGAAGGTAGCTTGCGATAGTGATTGATTGGTTCAAGCGTTTGATGTACCTTTTGGGTATGGACATAACAGGAAGGAAGTATGTGTTTAGAAAATCGTTGGAACGTTTCATTTCGTTTTTGATACCATTGATGTGGGGAACAGTGGAGTAAATAATCCGTGAGATTGTGAAATCTCTGAAACGATCGATTATGTTTGTCAAAGATTGCATTAGTTGGTCTGATAGAGTGTATTTGTCCGTTCGGTATGGTGTCGTGCAATATTGCGGGGAGCCTAAGATGTTTTCTGAGGAATTCGCCTGGTGGGTTTTTTTAGAAGTAATACAGTGGAAATGTAGAACTCAATGATCTTCCAACATATGATCTGTTGGAGCGGCAGTTCGTATGAGTTCTGGAATGAGAAGAGGTAGAGCAGGAAATGATTATTTGTTTAACAAACTGATTCTTCCTCTTTGCACACGGCTTTTTTATGGGACAACTATAGAATATAGCATGATAAAATGTTGGTTTCAGAAGTCTCAGGTGCTTGATGCTTTTTTCTATGCGAGCGATTCTATAAAACATAAAGTACGAGTGTTTGCCTTAGCTTTAGACGCGGATAAAATCCATGTCGCACATAAGCGACGACACCAAAGGATTAAACCGAAGACAATTTTGCCCGACTCTTATGGTACGAAAATTAAGTGATAGTGTGTAGACGTTCGTGATCATATGGAAGCATATGTAGACAGTATGTACCATTCATGCTGAACGTGAGAAAGAAAGATATCTGAAGAAAAGTGAATAAAGAAAGTTGCCTGAATTCGAAGAACTTCTGAAGCTCGTTGAGACGGTTGGCCTATTTAGGCATCTGGGTTCAGAGCTCCTGGAATCGTTCTCATACTCTAACCCTGTGGGTTTTAGTCATGTGAGAAATGTCTAGAGTGCACTAATTATGAAATACAGAAACCGAAAACGATATCATGTATATTCAAGGCGACTATCCAATTCCGATAAGAAAACTTCCTTGAGAATATCAAAATACAGTACGCTTCTGTCGAAGTCCAAATATTTTGGACCCAACGAACTCCATTATGAGGTAAATGGGAGTTTTTTGTCAGAAAATAACAAGCGATGATAGATATAGGTAGAAGAGCATTTTGAAAATCGTTCTCTAGACATTTTTCTTTCTCTGTCTCGTACAAATTAAGAGGCATTTAATTCTTGATGTATCTCATAATGCACAAGAGTAATGCTGATACCAGATTTTAGTGTTTATGAGCATAGAATAGTTCAGAGCGATAGCATATTCATAGTGTAGAGAAAGTTATATGACCTACAGGTATCATTTAAAACAAAATCAGAACCGTGTTTCATTAGTATGAGTTTTAACAGTTTTATTAGAGTAGCATCAAAATACATTAAGATGTTTTCCAAGTGAGAAAAAGCAGATGTTTATATTTCTTACATTCATTTAAGTTTAAACGAATTTAACAAGTACTATCAGAAATTGAGAACTCATACTTCCAAACATATTCAAATCAGCTTCAGATTTGTTTTTATTTGAGCTCCGAATTGCTAAGAGAAAAGAGAAAAAGTAAAAAGAACTGTAATTTTCTGATCAAAAATCCAGTTTTAAGAAAACTACATAGAAAGTTGTATTTTTGGAATTTGTTTTTTTTTCAAAACAGTTTTAAGTTTTGAAAGTCTTATCGCTAGATAGAATAAATGTGTATCTACCCAAAGTCATGTCTCAAAAAATTAATGATTTCAAAGTCTTGACTATGCAGGAATAGAAGTTAAGTTGTTTGTCTCTTATCTTCTGTGTACACCCACTGTGATATACTACAGGCATGCATTGAAAATACTTAGGTTTCAAGCAATGACTTTAAGATTAGGAAAGAAGTATT